AACCACACATACACACACACACACACACACACACACACACACACACACACACACACACACACACACTCAGACACCCAGAGAGAGAGAGAGAGAAAGAGAGAGAGAGGGGGGGGGGCGGTGGCATGCAGCGAATCCCAAATTCCAGTACTTAGCATTTTTCGTTCTTGTTCGACAGAAAAGAAAGAAAATCTGAATCAGTACTAACAATAGACCTAAGAAACTTTATCATGCAAATAATTGCATCAGATACTTTAATAGGCGTTCCAATTTAATTTTAATTTTGACTGTGTTAACAACACGAGTCCGGCCTCTTCATACTAGATTTAGGCCCCGGCCCTACGCAATGAAGGCTTTGGGCAGGGGAAGAAAGGAGGGAGGGGGGGGGGAGCTCAGTGAAAAGGAAATACTTGTATCTAAAAAGTCTCGTTTTCTTTATACTGTCGAATGAACTAAGGCACAATATAAGGTAAGTGAATATAAAACATTACCAAAATTGATTAACTTTTCAAACTGAAGTTTAAAAACCTCTCAGCGATGTATTTCCCTGTCTCGTACATTTCAAACAATGAACAGAGGGAGCCAAAAGCTCAAGGCGCAAAATGTGTGACGTCACGGTTCGGCGCGATGTCACGTTGGAAGGGTTCAGCTAGGTTTTCGCGGAGTTGGTTGATAAAAGGGTAAAACTTCACTAGCCAAGGTAAGACTTCTACGATAACCATTTAAACGTTTTCTGGAAGAACAAAGAATGGTTTACCAACAAGGGTAGTTTGAAAAAAATATGACGAGAAAATTTATCAAAAATCAATGGTTAAAAATTGTCTATTTTTCAACTTGAAATATCTCGAGACTCATTAGTCGCACATCGACCTGGAAAAAAGCGTTTTGAAGGCCATCCAAAGATCTTTAAAGACATGTATCGGACTTAAATGTTGGTCCCCTAAATTAAACACAAATATGGGCAGTTTGAACCCACTGTCGCGATGAGACGTCATGTCCGGAAACAAAACCCAATGGATCTTTCCGAAGCCGAATCACGCTGTAGTGAACGCGTTCACTGAAGTGCCTACATGTGTGTAAGGTGGGTTTTTTTAAATGTTAACCTAATCATTTCTATTTTTACCTATGTTTCTATTTCTCCTACCCTCTTACAGATCACATCAAAGATGAACTGGTCTAACAAAACAAAACATCAACATCTCAAGATTTATTTTTTTTCTCAGTTTTTAAATGAAAATCCTCACTGATCACAGCACAGCAATGTGGAGCAGAGAACCACAGCACAACAAATCATTGCATAGCAACACAGAACTCTGTTGAGTAACATAACAGAGGTACAGTAGAACAATACAGTGGAGTCCACTTATAACGAGTCCTGAAACAACGAGAAGTCTGTTATAAAGACACTGTTCTAAAGCCCCGTTTTTTCCCTTCTTTATCTTTGTAAATAAAATACTGCCATTGCGCAATCAGACCGTCACGCGAGTCGTTTATAACGGAATATTGCTGCTGCTGTGCACAGCGCACAGACCGATTAAACATTATTATAAAACCTTGCCAGTTGAGAAAGTTGTCGGTGATCCAGTGAAACAAGGAATGGGAGAGCGTACGCGAACCAACAATGAAGGCCGGAGCGAATGAGTGGGGAGGGTGTGGCATGGGCAAACACAAGCAGAACGCATCGCGCCAGCCCAGTCTAGATTATCTAGACATACTGTGCCTCTCACTTCTCTGGTGCAGGATGGAGAGGTCACAATGCTGTGATAGATGGATGTAGTGAATGTATGACGTGCGCGAGCAGACGCAACGCACCACAGGGTGTGGTGGGGTGGGGGACAACACTGCGGGCGAGTTAGCCTAGAGCCAGAGCCCCTTCTTTCTGATCGCCAAGGCCGATTTGTCAACATTACTAGTGCTAGAGAAAGAAACCTGATTCGATTTTTGATCAAGTAAGACCTTGAGATCATGTTGAACAAATCATCATCGGGGGAAATACAAAAAGGAATAAACAGAACGCCAAATCATAGATTAGGCCTACTTTACTATTTCCCTTGAATTTATTACTGGATCCCTTGTAACGAGAATCCTGCTATAACGGACATCTCGCACCGGTCCCGTCCCTCTCGTTATAACAGGATTCCACTGTAATATATTACGGTACAAATTAAAGGAAATTATAATAATTATAGCAAAATTACACAGCACAGAAACACGACATAGCACAGCAATACATAATTCAACATAATGCAGCCCAACATATCTTTACAGAAAGGCAAAACAACACACGATAAAGGTCCTACAATGTGGAAAAAAGTGTATGGAGTTAAAGCCCCTATCAACACTATTAAATAGGTTACCTTAGAGGCAGGATCTCCGAATTGAATGTCCGTCTCTTATAGGACCAAGCCAAATGGGTTTAGAGCCTTGAAAACTCCACAAAACAACCCGAGTTCAAGAACGCCTAGTTTAGGATTCAAACCAGGGCCACCCTCTCCTGGTCCAGCATGGTACCAACTGAAGTAGCAGAGTGCTTTAAGTTACCATGAAAAGACATGACAATCATAAGGAACGGTGAGGAACAATTTTTTTAAAAGAACCTTCAAGCAGAGCTTTCTCAACAAATGTCTGTCCTTCACATGAAATGTTTCCCAAAGAAATTACAGAGACCAGTATAAACAGACTATAATCAAATACCAGTATATTCAGAAGTTCTCTAGAGTTTTAACATAATACTTACTTCCTTTACAAGCATACTTAAAAACAAGGTAATAGAATGAATTACATACATAACCAAGATTTAAATACAGTCAAATTTATAATGTATACAGTCAAACCTTTTGTAACAACAGCCACCTGTATAAGACATTACATGTACTTAACGTAAGAATTACATGTATATTTTTTAACTGCTTGCTCTTTCCAAGTGTGCCCTAGAGTTTATCTATCTATTGATGACTGTGCAATGCATTTTAACCCTATCGTACGCCCTGGGGTCATTTTGTACCCCCGGGGTTGTATTTTTCACATTTTAGAATACTTCTAGTACTGAGTACGAAGATCTCTTTGAAACTTTCAGTATTTCTCAAAAAAATCATCTTGACAGACTGCTATGCAAAGTGTAGGGATTGGATTAACGAGTAAATTTCCTCTTTGAAAAGTGGGGTGGCACAGAGTTCCCCAAGTCGTATGGATACAATAGTAAAACACGACGTACGGATAGGGTTAAAATGTTTTGGGTTGCAGACATTTTCATCATAATCAAATCTCAGGATCTTATCCCTGCTATTTTTATTAGAGAAGTCCGGAAAGCCAAGACCAATACATTATAAAACAAAGACTATTATACACGATATAAGTAAATAACTGCACATTTCAAACTATCATACCATAATAATTATAGTTCAAAATGAACCAGATGATCAACAGTGGTGGCCCAGGACATCTTTACATGACACTACTTACACATGAATCCAACACAAAAAAGGTCAAACCTGTTTACTTTGGTATTTCCACAAGTAAACAAAAATCACAAGTTACAATAATCTGTCCCCGTAGGATTATGCGATTGTGCGGCCGGGGCGCGGCCATGTTTTTTCGCGTAATTCTGCAACATTTGCATAATTTTGGATTCCCCGCGTTTTTTCACGGTTTTTTTTCACAAAACAATTAATTAACTCCTCGCCATGTGACTAAAGGGAAATAATCACCGTGATAAGTCTCATTTAAGTGAAAAGTTGGGTATTTCCCTTGTTAGAAGATCTTGGTTCATGGGTTGGGATTTTGTTCCTTGAGCATAAATGTTCAATTTTTCAATCCATCAAAAGTTGTTGTTCTCATGTCTGCTGATGTTTCATGTTTGACAGGTGTCCCTGGTTTTAGTAATGTGCCAGCATCAGAGGTCCAGATGTCCTTTTTTTTTTACATTTTTCTTTCCCCTATAGATCTACTGCTGAAAGTTACAGAGATATTTTTTGGTTGTTTTTTTTTTTACTGATGTGTATTGTTTTCTTTCCAAATACACAACAAATTACTGATACTGATATGTTCTGTTTTAAATTTTTCTGTACATAAAACATGAAAATCATGAAAATTCGTGTTGAAAAAATGGAAAACATGTCGCGAATGGTGTTACGGTAACTTGCATAATTTTTGCATAATTTGGCTTTTTGGGTGCATAATTTGGCCATTTAAATTTGCATAATTCTACGGGGACAGAATAATCAATAATTTAAAAAAGATTGTGATAGCTTTTGTGTTTGTATAAAAACAACCCAGCAGACGCAAGCATGCCAATCACAGTTTAAAGGCCAGCACAGCCTTGTGTGGTTTCACAGGCCAGTTTTTCCCAAGACCATACCCTCATTTGACCAATTGGCACAGGAAAGATCAGAACATAATACACGGTAAGCACAGACCAAGAAAATACAGTAGAACACGGCTACAGCAGGACTTTTGGTTCCAGAAGAAAAATCCCGCTGTAGGCGAGTTCCTGCTATAAGAATGTAAAGGGGAAATTACAGAATTTAAAAAAAAATAGACAGGATTACATCCCTTCCATATCAATAAAATTTGTGTTTTAGATTAGTCTTCCTTTTCTTGTCAACTTTGTTGATTACCTCGGCCTTTCATTTGAATGAAAAGCATTTCCTTTTCTCTTTGTTGGAAGTCATCTTTTCCTCGGTTTGTTGCTTGTGCTGTCTATCCTACAGGTAGGCCAACTGTAGAACTGGCGAAGTGTATGCGTGCGTATGCTTGAGCATCAACAATCGCAATTCAATTAATCTGGAATCACACACTACACGCTCTCCTCTTCTTTTATTTTTTGGCCTAGCCTAGATTACAGATCTACATCACGTTTGGAGTGGTTCGCGCAATGCGTCTCTCCGCACCATTTCTTTTTGGGCCTACCGCCTGCCCGACCTCACTCATCCCTGGACTAGCCAATCACAACACCGACTGCTTGTTTGGAGCCTGCCTCCAGCCCCCCCCCCCCCCACCCCCAAGCTAGAGCTTGCTCGATCTCTCCCGCTGTATCCGAGTTCGGGACTTTCCTTGCCCTGCTATATCCAAGCATAAGTAATTGAGTTTACATAGGAAGAAAAACAGGGATTCTGGTAAGGTCCCGCCGTAGGGATGGTGTTACTATAGTCATGTTCTACTGTAAAAGGAATGCCAGAAAGAGGTGGCTGACCTTCTTGTTGGTGGAACAGAAGACTTATAATAATATACAAATATACCCCCTGGCCGGCTCAAAGCAATACAGCCAGGGCATGCATTGTTCTTACATTGCAAAACAAGACCCATGAAAGCTAAAACATCTTCAATAACTCAAGACAAAACTACACTGATTCATTCCTATGTTTAAGTCTACGAAAACAAAATACATTTCGTCCAATCTATCATATAAACAGGAATTTTAACAACTTCACCGAAAATCAACACAATGTGATGCTTTTGTTAAGGGCCAGATCGTGATAAATGGAAGAAGAAAAGCTGTGAATCACATAGTTTTTTTCTTGTTGTTTTGTTTGTTTTTTATAACAGAATTTAAGTACTATTGATATGAAAAGATGATTGAAAACCAGAGCTCTCAAACACTCATTATTGACAGTAAAGAATAGAGGAAGAAGAAAAGAAGGCAGAGAGGATACCCCAAATCAATTATTACATTATCTTGAGCACAAATATTCAAATGGGTCATTCCACTTCTGAAGGGGTTGGAACCTACTGCTGCTGTACTGAGTTTCTTTTTGTTTTCCACTCCAGCCTATAAGAACCACAAGGGCATTCATTCATGATTATCCGCATCAATTCAATAAGAGCTTACAAAGGTCTTTTGACTTTCAAACTGTTTCGAAAACTGTCAGCAAACATACTGAGTTCAGGTGGACGTTGAGTAGGCCCGTTTGCTGCCTCTTGTATCTTGCGTTTGAGAGTCCTGGAAACTGGAAAATGAACTTTCTCATTTGTCGAATCCAAAATTTCAATATCTGACAAGGAATGTTGTGGGATTAAGTTGTGCTCTTTTGTATGAAAGGGACTATTTCGGTTGTTTATCTGTTCAGCCACATTTATGGTAGAATGCTGTTGAGCTAGAGGATTGTTGCCATTGTTTTCAAAATGACTAAACTGAGGAGTTTGTCTAGTTGTTCTGCCTGATGTCAATTCATAATGAGATTTTGTTTTCTCTAAACTTGAGGCTGATGAAGCACGTGGTTTGTTGAGAGCATCTCTAAATGTCTGAAGACTGGGATCACTGGTGTGACCTCTAAATGTTTCATCTTTGTCCCGGAAGTCAGCAGACGACAGTCTCGCAAACTGTTCAGATTTTGACAGAAGTAAATTTTCTTCAATAGGGCCCAGCGGTTTTCTGTAGATTTCATTACAGTATTCCTTATTCAAGGTGTCGTCCATGTCTATTCTCCTACCATCATTCCATAAAAAGCTATGGTGCGCAATGCCCTCACTGCTCCGAAATTCTTGAGTGCCCCAGGAACCGGGTGATGCATGAGCAAGTATTTCATCTTCTAGATCATGAGCTTCAATTTCCCTACAGTCTCTTTGCAACAGTTTGAACTCTGGTTGATAGTTGCTGCGCTCATAGTTGAAACTTTTCTGCTCATCATTATAACCTTGTAAAAATTCAGGAAAAGTAGTGGCAGCCATCGGGATCAAAGAATTTCCTTTACACCTACTTGATATGACAGGATTTAGCCTTACTTGAGCTAAATCTAAGTCATTTTCTTGTTTCATTTCCCAGTGGCTCTTGAATTTATTTTCAAATTGACGAAAATTATTCATTTGACTCGATCCATGTTCTGCACATAGTGTTGGAGACTGAGGATGGAGGTAAGAGTCACTATGAAAGTCATGAGCTCTCTTTCTGCTAGCATAGCCGTACAAAGACAACATGTGATCCAGTCTTTTGTCTTCATACGACTGACCACTGAGCAATGGCCTTGACTGGTTATAGCTTTCTTGCTCCGAACAACGCAAGTGAGTTGTGGGATCTGACCTATAAGTCATCCACTCTGAGCACTCATGTCTTTGTTTAGCTACATTTTCAAACGCAATCCATCTACCTGCTGTATCAATATCAGAAGTGTGTACAACATCAGACCGCTTTGAAGAAAAAACGTTATTCTTTTGCTCGAAAGGAACTAAACTTCTTCCATCAGGCTCCAGGGCATGCAGCACAGACGATAAATTTTCAAAAGATGTTTCATGTACGTCGCAAGGAACATCATGTTGTAAAGGGTCAAACGTTTTGTGGGTACAATCTGTCAGAGCAGCACCACACTCCCAGGGTTTCAAAGGTTTACATATTGACTGCCTTAATGTTTTTTCTACTAGGGAAGCTGGCTCTTTAGATGAAGCAGCACCTTGATTATCATGCATACTTGCAGACTCAAAAATATTCACCTCTTTCATAGAGGCAGTACTCTGATTGATGTGGGTACCCCTGTGGTCAAAAGCAGTCATCTTTTTGAACGAGACAGCTGCAGCATACCCAGAAGTATTCATGTGGGTACCTTTGAAATCCCTTGGATCCAAAGTTGGACTAGGGGGAGAGCACAGAGGAGACTTTGTCCTGTTGTTAGCAGAGTCAAATGACTTTTCGCTAGTGACACTGGTATCAGCTGAAGTTTGAGAACTGTTTTCCGAGCATTGTTGCAAATGTTTCCACTTAGATTTTTGGAGACAAAAAATCTGAAATAAAAAATATGTCAGAAGATTCAGTACCCAAATTATGATTATGTGTAAACATGATCTTTATGCTTTTGTATTTCGTTTATGTCACTGAAAAGGTATCAGGGATGCAATGTTTAGCATCTGATGGCCTATTTTCTCCTGTATATCTGAAAAAAACATTAAAGGTCAATGTCAACCCAATATTTTTTGACAAAAGTCTTGTATTATTATACATTCAGAGTCCCAAATGTAGCTGTATGTATTTAAAAGAAGAAGAGTAAAGTATTTCTTATCAAAACAAAAATATTCAACAAAAAACACATTTCACCAAGATGAAGATGTGAATTAAAATATCAACCAAGTCAACAAAAAGATCAGTCACAGAAAAGAGGAAATAAGGTTGAATTTTTCTTCACAGTGTTTCACTCTAAGCTTCATCCTAGTTCAATATATGAGCTTTGATATTGCAATATTAAAAAAGTCTTGAGTGTAACTCTCAGCTTGGATGGACAGATAGAATCTTGTATCCTTAGGACAGATCAACACTTAGCCCTATTATTTTCCTACTCAACGGCAAATGGGTGTCTGGAAATACAGTCAAACCTGTCCAAGACAACCCCCATTGTTGAGGAGAAAACTGGTCATTTTAGTCAAGTGGGTCCCTGGGACAGTGTCCTTATGATATTTTTTTAAAGCAGTGGGAAGTGGTCATTATTACAGGTCTTGGACAAATGGTCGTTAGAGCAGGTTTGACTGTAGGTGAAAGCTCAAGGACAGTTGTATTCATCTACTGAGGGCTGCAATGCTGTGTGAGGGTGCCCTGCAGAACAGGGCTGGCAAAGCAAAGAACAGTTCACATAAGGCAGTTAAATAACAGTGAAGTCAAATGCATCTTTCATCAGATGAGATAAAAGACTATACCAAGCACTTTAACTTTGCTTTAATACTTTGCCTCCACAGGACGCCAATCGGCGACAGTAAGAATGCCACCAATACTGCAAGCATTACTAGAGAGGGACAAACCTAATTACACACTTGATAATGAAACGATTCACTTACTTTAAACACATTTGGAGGTATGTGTGGAAAGTTCTTCTCAAGATCAGATGAAGACATTTTGATAAGTTCTTCAACTGTATGCTTCCACAATAAAAGCTGGGCCCTGAGGTAAATATGAATAGTCAGTAACACCAATTAAGCAGTTTGATGTAGGCCTATAAATGAATGACTACAGACATAAAGACATGTTATGTTGTTGAAATCTCAATAAGTCTAACTATATTAAGTATACAATTTGAAAAACACATTCCTTTTAGTAGGCCTATTTGTTTAAGTAAAGAGAAACAATTCATCAAAACAATGATGGTCATTTCGATCAAGGTAAAAAGACAGAAAAAAACAAAGGGTAAGATCAAAAGCAGGACCTACCAGTAGTGACCTTCAACCACCTGCAGGCATTCCTTTTCCAGAGCAAGTGCACAAAAGAAAATCAAGAGACAATTCGCTTGGAACATTTGTTGCTAATAGACAGCTATAGAACTAGGAGAGTGTTGGAAAGACAAAAAACAAGAAACTGTCTTGTGTTCTAAAATCTATCAAAGTCTAGAAACTTCTGTATTTCACTTTAAAGAGGCTTCACAATATGATCATGGTATTTTTTTCATACTTCATCAGCAATTGTCCCCCCCCCCCCCCCCCCCCCCTTGTCAGAGCCTGCGTTATAACCAAATTCTACAATCATAAAATAAGGTAACTATTCCAAATTATGAACTAATGCTACAAGCTATCATTGCTAAGTTAAGGATGAATATTTGCTCTGTCGCCAAATAAATTTAACCCAAAAAAAATAATTACTTACAAAAGGGAATTGATGGACGGAAACTGCAGGAGAAAAGCTTCACCCTGTATGATAGAGATGAGAAGGAATTGGAAACTAATTTTACAACAGTTTGACAAAATATCAGAGATTTGTTGCGACAAATTCTTTAAAAGTATATGTTGATTTTTAAAAAAAAATTAGATCTACATGGTCAAATGTTTATGAGAAGCAGTGGGCAATGATAGTAGAGCTCACCTTGAGCATACATACCATGTCTTTTGTTAGTTAGTTCCTTTGTTTCTTTTAGGGGGGGTTGTTTGCTTTTTTGTTTGTTTGTTTGTTTTTGTTCTTTTGCTTTTTATGGGGATGGTGGGGTGGATGGGCTGATTCTTTTCTTCTGTTCTTTTTTTTTGGGGGGGGGGGGGGGTGGGGGGGTAGAGATAGTATAATTTGAATTAGTTATACCCTGTACTAAAAACAAATGTGTCATTTTGAAACCAAAACACTTGATCTAGTGATTACAGTAAAGCAGAAGAAAGTGAAGTGAAGAATATGATAAATTTATCAAAATATCACATAACTCTGTATATGGTCGCTTTTAAGAACAAGCGGGCTAACTCAGATATAAGGGTTTCCACAAATCTTGACCTACACCAATAGGAGAAGTTTGGTTTCATTGGTGTGTATATTTGTTTGGTTATAGAGAACAACTCTCATTGTCTTTTAAAGAAACTGAACAAGGGTCAACAAACTTTACCTTCAATTTTTTCAAAACAGCATTTTTTGGGGATAACTGCCATGTGCTTAAAAAAAAAGACCATATTAATATTATATACATATTGGATGTAGATGTTCATGGTTTTACTCCATATAAGGAATGCTGGTGGTGCACAAGTATAAACAGAAAGGTACTGAGCCGGAATTCCCTGAGTCAAAGGAACAGAGGAAGCAAAAGAGCTACCTGGCCCAAAAAGTTGAACGTAAATACTAGAAACTGGCAAAGCTGAACACTACCAAAGAAAGATGCACAGAACTCTCTTTGGGGAGGAATTGCTGATAGTATGCTACATATGGGGTTTAAGTGCCGTGCATGAAACTGTTTTCGAAAGTTTTTGATCCTCAGGCTATATTCTTGTGATTGCTAGCTGCATTAACAATATGAACACAAAAACAACAAAAAGTCACAAATTCTCATGTATTTCTGTACTTCCTAAGTCAACTTTTCAGGCATTTATTCTCCTACAGCATCAATACAGACCATGAGCTGTAAACAGTCAAAGCTTATTGTACCGCTCCCCGTTGTACCGCAAGCAACGCTTACCGCCACGTTTTGATAATGTACGAAAAGAATCCCACATAAGCATAGTATTAAAATTTGCACCTTTACACCGCCATCATCCACCAACTGTAAATTTACCCCGTTGTATCGCCAGCAAAACAGGCCACTAAAAGTACACATTAAACACGAGGTTACACACGGGGCACAGTACATCAACTCGGTGGTTGCTTGACAATTTTTCACACACATGTCTCTACAAGCTAGGCTTAGGTCTAGATCAAAAGCTTTTCGCCGATTTGCTCCCTCCCCACCCATCCCACATTCCCATCCTTGTGTTGCACATTTCAGGCAATATGGATAGACCTACAGTGATGTAGTGTGTCACAAACGAACACAATACAATGTGTAATGTAGAAGAGTACTTATAAAATAAAACATAACTTTGTAATTCAGCATCCTCATTTGCTCACCGCGTGCACCCAACTAAATTTGATGTGTTGATTATGAAAAAGCAATAATTATTTCTAGGCCTTGGTCAATATTTCAACCAAATAAAAGTTGGAATTAAATTTTTAAGTCGCCCCACCGCCCCCTCCCCCCTGGTTAAATATCCGACATTGCCAAATATCAACCAATAGCTTGCAGTCTGGTGAATGCCCGTTGGGGCTTTTATTTAGTGAAGACTCAGGCTCAAGTCTAAATGACAGATCAAAGGGAGATAACACATTAATTCATCTAGTGATTGGTAAACAAGTTCCCTTGACAATGGCAGTCGGTGCTACATCATGTATTTAACAGAGGACAACCCTTGTTGTACCGCCAGCCCCGTTGTGTCGTCAACTTTATGGTCGTCCCGAGGTAGGTGGTAAAACAAGGCATTTATCTGCACCTTTCTTGCTTACTTTCGTCATGTCAGAAGTCAGCCAGGCCCGCTCGTCACAATGGTGAGCGGACTTACAGATTTGTACCAGTGTCTGAACATGCTTGGCAACACTTTCTGCACTTGCAGCCAGTAATATCTGAAACATAAAATTTCATTCTCTAAAAAATGACACTAAAAATATAACACTAATTTGCTTGCTTTCACTACATATATCTCATCCTTTTTGGGAATACTATAAAATAAGACCCACCACACTTTTTTGTCAAGGTAATCTCACCTGAGCAGCTGAAAACTGTTCCTTCTGACCAATACAAATTACAATTTCTCTGTAAAGAAAAGAATGATGATTATCCTTTTTCTGGGGAGTGAAATGTTTTCTTCCTTATATAATCTAGGCTAACCTTTCCCTTCCTGGCAGATTAACTGACATAATATAATTCTCCTTTACCTGTAAACATTTAATTATAGAGAGTAGAAAATAGGAACATACCTAAAGAAAGGAAGGTAGTATCTAACCAAATGCCAATCATGTGCAGACAAAATATCAGTAAGGCAGGCGTTAATTATCTTTTCTAATGACACCAAAACTATCATATTTTTAATATTTAACAGTAGATTGAAAAATGATTACATAGTTCGTTTAATAGGATCCCAGAAGGTCTTACACAGAGATTGAATTATTTTTATTCTTTTAACACAGGCACTTTTTAAGTGAAAAGTCTCAAGCCCTGTCAAAGTTTTGGTTGGTAATTCAATATTAAGATTTACAAGGAACAATCTTACCTTGTAGGAGCATTTGAAGTTTTTTGATGCTCCACTAAGATTCGACAGTGATCCTCTCAACTTATACAAGTTCGTGTTCCTCTGTTTGTCCAGCATATATCTAGGGAAATTTTGAAATTCTTATGACTAACATGATGACTAAACAAGCAAAATAGCAAGAGTGGTTAGTAGGCACTCGAGTGTTGCTAATTCTTTCTACCTCTTTTCAGAGTTACTGTAGTCCAAATCTATTTCTCTTCAAAATGAAGACATTGTCAGAGTCAACTACACCTACAGAGTCAGGAACCAAGGCTCACCAAGGGACCAGAATGTAAAGGTAAAAAGGCCAGTAGCCAAACACAATGCCATAGCAAAAGGAAGGCAATAAATACACAGTAACAATACAATTAAGGGTTTAGGAATCGATTACCAAATAATGTTACAAAGGGTTTAAGCAATGGTAACATAGTAACTTTACAGAGGGTTAGGCAATCCTGTCGTGTCCGTTGTTATCTCTCTTCAGTTGATCATAGACAAATGTTTAAACCATACCAAAAGAAAATTGTAAAACATAAAACTAAACGAAGGGAAACGTTCACATTACTACGAAATTTTAACAACATAGCAATGAACTGGCACAATGGAACTCCCCCCCCCAACCCACACTGAAAGCCCAGTAGGAAAGAGATGTCATCTTTTTAAATAAATATGTAGACAGTGTCCAACCTGTGCAGGGAAACAGAACTCTAATTAAGCTGAGGATGGAAGTAAATGAAAATATACAAAATAAGACAATGTACATTAAATTTGCAGTAATACTTTCTTCATTGGATGGAAAGCAGCTAAATTCTCAACTTTATTCACTTTGCAGCATTTTACCAAACAACAGTTCTCAGACAACTCAATGCCTGTCACGCCTTAACTTTATTGAGCTAATGAAAGACTCAATTACATTCCTACCAAGTAGCCACTATATTGTAATCAAACAAAAGTAGAAGTAATCTTTTTGAAGGATTTAACTCAATTTATAAATAATGTGTGTATTGTCTAATGCTTCAACCTGTAACCATTATGATGAAAGTAACTCTGCCTTATGGTCAAGCACATATTAAAAACAGCAAAACTTTGATAATCTTAACCAATACCATAAAAAACTACCTCGTTCCAAACCGATGCCACCTGTGATAAAACTCAAAGAAGATACTCGCAACTCTGCCGAAAAGCTACCACTGTACCATAAATTACTTCTTGTTGATACTTTTCTGCCATTATTTCTGAGGGGACACAGAAGAGTGGTAACCAGCAAAACAGCAAGCAACCAGAATGACATTTTAACTAGAATAAAGCGACTGCTTAATGTAAGACTCCACCATACGCAGTTTCAAAATGTGACGTAGGCCTATGGAGGAGTTTAACACTGAAGAGTCGATGTGCTATTCGAGCACCTGATTCAAATTTTGCATAGTGTATTATTAGAAATAATTCAGGTCTTATCTAGAAAGTTTTTGAATAGCAACTTCTCATTTAAAATGAACTCTAAGTACTTATAGTCACCTGTTTGGGCTTCCAATGCAATGAGCAATGACATAACAGTGCGAGAACTGGAGTCCAAGGGCAACCAGTCTTCTCACAAAAGCATCCAAGTCCCAGTCCTCACTAACTTCATGCAGTGGCAGTAATACAATGCTGTGAAAAGGGCTCACAATGAGATCTGCGTGGTAGAAGTCATCCATATTTTTACTGAGCATTGTGTAGTCACGCTCGATCACCGTTATATTGTGCCTGAAACAAAGTAAATACATGTATAAACAGTCAAACCTGCCTTAACGGAAACCTGTGTAAAACGGAAACCAGTCTTAACGGAATCTCCCCGCTCTCCTCTTGGTAAATTCCTCTTTAATTGCCTGTATAAAACGGAAACTTGTCCAACGCAGAAACAGAAAGAAAAATCAGCTCCCTCTCGATGGTTTTAACCTGTCTAAGACAGAAAATGCTTAGAAAAAGTTTGGTTCCGCTGGCTCTAAGGGAAGTTAGGGGTGCAATATGGGGGTAGATGTTATCCAATCTATGTGAGTGTGAGCCCTGAGCGATGCAGATGGCCAGGGGGTGTGGGTGTAAAATCTCATGAGTGCCAGTGAAAGTGCTCGAGTAGCAAGCCACCACGGAAACTTTCGTGGGTAGCTAAAAGCCAGAGGTGTGGAATTAGTTTTAGTTTTACTACTGCCTGCCACTCTGATCGTACAACCAGCCGAGAAAAGAGTTCCTCAAATCGTTCTTATATGGCAGTGAGGGATGGGATTGGTTGACTGTGCTTGTTGCTCCGATGGGTGGGGTTAAGGGTGGAAGCAAAGGGTTCAGTCGTTTCTGTTTTAATAGGTCAAACAGTGTTCCTATGAAATGCTAGCACATGTGGTAATTGGATAAGTAAGACTGACACATGTCATTATCAGAGAGGATAGTAGTTGAGAAGTGTGAAGTTTTGACCACTGCTTGCCGACCGGACAAACAACCTTTAATCCCACCAGCTGAGCCTTTGAAACCCCCCTCCATCTCCCCCATAAATCCCCTGTCTAAGATGGAAAATATCTAAGATGAAATTGTTTCTGGATCCCTTGCGATTCCGTCTTATGCATGTTTGACTGTATAGCATATAACAAAAACATGTCATCTCACAAATAAGCAATTAATTCTCTCAAACAAAAGATAGTGAGCACTTTACCTACTTGTCTCCGCCAAGCCGCTCCCAACAGCTCACAGACAGAACTGCTGTGCCGGTAAAATTAGCTGCTAGCAGCAACTCAGGAACCTCCCTTTACGAAGACTTAAAGGTCAGACTACTTTTCAGCAATTGCTGAAAACAGGTCGCTTTTATCAGGAGTTCATTCATTAGATGAAGAACTATCAAAATAGGTTCACTAGTTTTGATTTAATAATCAATTTGGTGAAGTATATAATGTCATTTTTAGATTTCATACCAAAAGAGGGCTCTGTCATTTTTTTTTTTGCAATTCAAAGGTATGGAGGAAACAATTAGAGATCAAACAAAGATATAAAATCTCCTCAGTCTGTCGGGGACGTTATTGAGCTTTCAGTTGGTTGTTTTTTCTTTGCTCCAAGGATAAAAACCAATTCTAGTTAAGTAATATATAAAAGTTTACAAGGGGTAATCCTTTGTAAATTTAAAAATTACCTACACTCCAAGAGCTGCAATAGTTCCCTGTATTGGGTCACCTCAGTTGAGCTAACTACAGTGAAGGGTGGGACTCTTTCTTTTGCAACAAATTCTTCTGAAAATGGAAGACGATTATACCTCCTATTAAAGGTGAAAAGACAAGACTACAAATGAGTTTGTACCCAATACATCAACTTCCCTCAGCACTGAGCATAGTGCTGACATTAATTTCCATCTCATAAAGGGAAGCATTGGAAGTTTATTCCCTTTGCTTGCTTGATAATTACATATGAATGTGTAACTCAAGGGAACCTTCCCATGCGGCACCGTACACCTGTAGGTCGCACATATTGTCATGAGCCACAGAACAATGTCAAACAAAATCTTTCAGTAAATATTCATCCCACACAGGAGGGCTGAAAAACTTTCTACTATTTACCATGATCAAAAAGGATAGGATTCATGAAAGTAAAAAATGCTAGCAGCACCTAAAATTAAAACAATGAAAAGCTTCTTCAGTTCTGAGAATTCAGTATTAGTTCAAATGTGTAATATATATAGGAAACAGAATTTGCGAATAAAATCATAGAACATTCTATTTTTAAAAGCACATTAGTTTCTCTAAGTAACAACAGTTTGAATTGAAAAGTTTTGACATAAACAAAAAAAATCAAGGAATAAAACAGACATCACAGACAATAAGCATAATCATACCTCACACAGGATATACACAAATGCATATTAGAAATTGTTCTGAATCACTTAATTTTAGTCGCATTTGAGAACAACTGATCCAGCTGCCAGAGGTTGTATAGAGAAATATGTTTTAATGGAACAGTAACACAGAAATGGATCAAGGCAAAGACAATTTCGCAAAAAGAAAAAGTACCTCAAACTATTTTTTTAAAATTTAAGCAACACAGGAAAAAGTGTGGTAAAAATTATGGTAAATTTTTAAAACACAATTAAGTGCAATATGCACTTTGTGATCAGTACACTTTTTAACAATAGAAATGAAAAACAGAAAAACGGGAAAACAAAGATTATTATGTTTATTAGGTACAAAAAGTAAACTTTCTGCACTTACCTTTAACAACATCATCACCAGCAAAGAAAGAATGTAAGCCAATATAAGGAATCTTTTCAAGCTGACAATGCTCTTTGGCTACTGAAGCTGCTGATGGGCTGTCATCGTATTCCAACACCAAGGAAAATTCACTGAGAAATTCCTCAGTGAGTATTGTAGGAATGTCCGAGACATAGACAACTGTTTTGTCTCTGTGAAACACAATAAGTACAGGTAGAGAATCAGGTTAAAACATTCTAAGACTTACAATACAGTAGTCTCCGCCTAAGATACCAGTGCAAGGAGCAATGCTAGCATGATCTCTGCCAACGCAACAATGGAAGAATCCATGGTCACTCATGTTCAGGCCCACAACTGGTAAAATGGTCTCCCTTTACTCAAAAATGAACTGACATGACCCCTGGGTGGGTCTGTGACTTATGGCGAGCAAAGTAGTGGTCAACCTTGATGGTCAATCACAGAGGCATGAAGCTAGCCATTTTCACTTATTATCCTATCCTGAGTCTCAAGATCTATGCTTATCCAGTTGCTCCTCCCTTTAACCTCGAGTCTCTCCACCTTTGTCCTTATACACGATTGTGTTGTGACCGCACCAATTAAAATTCAGTCCGTCTAGCAAAGTCAGGAGTGGAGACGACTTCTGCAATGGTCAGGAAGAGTTCACAGTTTGATGTGTTCCCGCCTGTAGCGAACTTGTAGGCCCTACCCACCCAGAGAGTGATGTAAGTATAGATGGAGAGCTCAGAAGCAAGTGCGATGTTTGGGAAAAACAAATTTGTCGGCAGGTTCACATCTTTACCACACACATAGGTGAACTCCAACCAGAGCCATTGAAAATCAGCAAAACTTGTATTATAATGTGATGAGCAGTTTTGAGAAGTAATATGAAAGCAAAATGTTACCATTAAAGGAAAGAGGAGAAAAATGTAACTCTTTCTCAAAGACACAAAAGAGAGCTCTGGGTCATTACAAAATATAAAGCTTTACCTATATAGATTTATCTCAGCTTCACCTTGCTATGTGAGCAATCTGAGTAAGTGTAAGTATTGACATGGGTGTAAAAACATTACGAAGTGTTGGCCATTGTAGCTCGAGCTAACCTCAGCCATAAACATTGGTTTTCTTTGTTTAATTCAGGTATATAATTTGCTATTGCAAATAGTCAGATGAAACAAGCTTAAAAGATAGCTATGTGAAGTCAGAAAATGAGGATAAATCATTGCAAAATTAAGGGGTTTTTTGTTTTGTTTTTGGTAAGTGTATTACGGCGCTTGCAATGCATAAGGTCATATAAGTGCGCGGGACACATTAACTTAAACATTTTCAGTTCGTAGGTAATTTTGAATTATGCCTGGGTGGCGGTCGAAGCCTACTCTTATCGATTTTGGACCACCAAGGGGATCTTTAACGTGCGCAACTTGCACACAAGACCTCTGAGATTTTTCACCCTTGTCCGAGAAGGTTAGGTGTAGATCTTTCCAACCGTAAGATCACGGATGTGGCTGAATTTTGAAAGACAGCAGTTAGAAATGGCCAAGGAGTAGCAGTAGAAAGGCTGCAGAAAGAGTCAGGAGCCCAGAGGAGCAAATGTGGTGAGGGAGTGGGGGCAGAAAGCGGAGACGACAGCAGACGATAGAACATTGCTAGAGAGCAGGAAAGGAGGTGAAATGAGACAATTTAGAGAAAAACAATTTCCATCGCCATCCGGATTCGAACCCGGGACCTATTGAATGGGGGGCCAACACCTTAATCTCTAGGCCATGAGAGCCCCCCCCCCCCCCCCCACCCTACCCAAAATAAAGTAAAATACATTTCAGCATCAAGGTTGATAAGAATAACACCCTAAATGATATGACTGAAATTGGTGGTTTACTTACTTTGTGTCAGAGGCAGAGTTAATCTTCTGCTGTCTGTCCTTTATGACCGTAACAGTTAAGCTTCCTGATTCTGATAAGTAGTTTGTGACTACTCGGAGAAGTTCAGGTACTTGCTTGACAATTATGACGAGAATCTATGAAAGAGAAAAATTAATGCTTATATGAAAAATGCAAAGCTTTAATTTAAATTACTAAAACAATCAGGTGATATGCAAGTAACATATCGTCAGTCACCTGATAAAACCGTGAATTCCATAATTTTTCAAAAATCTTTTTTTTTTTGTTGTTGTTGTTGTTTTCTTTTTGCATATTTTGATAGTGCTCTGTGAGATTCATGTCCCTGTAAAACTATTTTTCAATTATCTCAACTCTAACATGTAATCTGACGTATCGTGAATAAACACAGTGTCTCAAAAGTCTGATGAAACCGTAAACCCCACACCTGTGTGGAATTCACGATCTCATCAGTCGGTTTATGACTCTCGGGGCTGACCGTTGGCTCCACGAACACCTCTTTAGACCATTGAAAAAGCGTTTAGTAAACACAATGGTCTGTCAGTATTCACGGTTTCCAAGCCAAAGATTATAATTTATGGTATCGACAGCATGCGTTTTGCGGGAAAACCTCTCAGTCGCATGGTCAAAATATTTGTTTCCTAGATGCAGGACAGGTATTGTTTCATAACGACTGTCAAATTCGAATGTGTAATGTGTGTGCCCTTCTTGTAGTAGGTAACACAATTTTGATCTTGCTCGTTCGCAAAAAAATAAATAATAATAACGTAGTCAAGTTTAAATTACAAGTATATGTCCGTGATGTACACAATCCAAACCTGTTTGACATTAAAAGCTCACTGATTAGACATCAGAGTTCCCTAACGAGAAAAGGAAATTTGCGAAGTCGAGCAATGTGAACCACTTTGGACATCAAAGAAAAACATCCAGCAGGGAAATAGTAGAAAAACCAGACCTCATTGAAAAAAAAGTGTCATTCAAAGTACACGATGCCTTGGAACAGATCAAAGGTTGGGTTTTTTTAACCTACGAGAGAGAGAGAGAGAGAGAGAGAGAGAGAGAGAGAGAGAGAGAGAGAGAGAGAGAGAGAGAGAGGCCAGCAATAAGCAATATAAATCGAGAGATAGGACTATTAACGAACTGAAACTCAGATGTGCTTGCTCAACCAAATCAAAAGACTACTCTCTATTAAAAGATAAAGCTAGAACAACTAGTATATGACTTAGACATGAGGAGACAGAAAGACCTAAGTGAACGGTCTTCTCAACACAAAAGAGTACGATTTAAGCAAAGGCGATACACCAAACTGAAAGCCGCACGCACTTGGGTTTATTATTTGAAACAGAGTGACCAGAAGATCAAAGTTGGCAGGATGCTGATATCTATGACCGGGCTCACTCATTGAAAATTGTTCTACAAGAGCCCATGCCAGTTGCATTATCGCCTTGCTCACCTCGTACGGACGAACACTTTCCATTATTCCCTACCCTGGGCTAACTTCTTCATATTTTTCAAACATCTTTCCACTTTTCTGTTCATCATTCTCTGCGACTTTTCTACAGGTTCCACATGGCCTTCCCTTAATCATTTAACCTGTGGACTCCAAGTTAAAACTTTCTTTGTTGTGTAGCTGTCTGATTTCCAGATGGTGTGCTCAGCCCAATCCATCTCCACTGCTTTCTTCTGTCTTAAAATGTTCTGCTTAATACTTCCTCATTGGTGACTGTCTGTCCACCTGATCCTGAAGAACTTCCTCAGGCACTGGTTGATGACAACCTAGATCATCCTGCACTTCGTAAAGAGTGCTTTAGAAGAGCCCAACCCAGCTGCACGCCAAACAATCCACAAGGGGCGTGCAAGCCAAGGAGTTTCTATTCATATTTGTGGACATGCTTCCGAAGGTTCCCTCCCAGTATTGCAAGCAAAGCTGTGGAAAACTGTATCTTGAACCCTGGTTTTGTAATCTGTCGGAGCTTCATTGTTTTACAAAACAGCCTGCACAGGCCAGGGACAATTTGTCTTGTATGCCAGACTCAAATATGTGCTAGATAAAAAGAACATGTTGATTTATGAGAGAGAAGTCCACAGACAAGGAAAACTTAACAAAAGTTCCCCACCACTGTATCAAGTAATTTTCAGGATCTGAGAGATAAAAAGAGTAAGATAATGAAAGATGATCATTCAGTCATCCAAGGGGTATAGAAGTTTGATACAAATTAAGTTCTCAACCCATCCACCCACTCAGTCTGTTAATTTCATACTCAGTTTTAAATTGGCCTCTCCTATAAAATTTGCTTCGTGTGGAATTCGTGATTTCATCAGGCGACTGACGATATTTCAAATAACGATAGCCACCAGACTCTAAAATAATTTCTGGAACTTTTGGAACAGCATTCAAAAGGACATCTTAGTATCAATAATAGAACTTCATAAAAACACCAACCCAACCAACAGGTTTTTTTCAATTCTTCCTCCCAGTTAAAATTTGCGCAATGTTTATATAAAATTATTTTCTCATTCCTCATCCCTCATTAATCTGTGACAAACTCTTAAGAAAAACAACAATGCACCTACCTTATACTCTGATAAATTCCATACAACACAAGTGTATAATGGTGAGTCCATAAGCAAGATCCAATTAATAGAACACAACATACACACACAACTATCCATATATTTTCCGACAGCTTAAAGCTATAGATAATACAAGTAAATCTTCACATCTTCGAGACAAGCTCATTGAGCTGTAGAGAAATATTGAAACAACTGAGTATACAATTACAGTCAAGCCTGTCCAGATGACCACTCACGGCGGAGGAGGAAAATCGTCATCTTAGGCATGTAGTCCTCTTGGACCATGTCATTATAATATAGAAAAAAAAGCAAGGGGGGGGGGGCTGCTCAGGTGATTATCGGGAACAGATGGTTGTTTATGCAGGTTCAACGGAGTTCTACTATCCTGTCGTAAGCTGACAAAGTGCCTTTTTTAAAATTCGGCGCCAAATGTTTTATTTGCAATTTTGAAAGCATGATTACTTACCTTACTTGTGTGAAAAAAACAAAGTGAAACTGTGACTAGTTTTTTGATAAATTAGAAATCAAATTCAGGATCACTCTAGTTTTAAATGGCTACACTTCTGTGAATCACTCTATTTCTAAATTGCCAAACTTCTGTGAAGAAAAAAAAGTTGTTTTGTCAAGTTGACGGCAGTATTGTACCTCCTGTATTACCTTTGACTCGGGGCTTTGTGCAGCAAACGTGTGCACTTGGTCAATCATCACAGCAAGTTTAGGGTGCTTTATACTGGCCCTCAGAAATTTACACTGCCATTGGAACAGATGTTGACGTAGATCTTCTAAAGTATCTGCAACACACATCACATGACAGCTGCTAGATCTAGCATTCGCAGATAAAGAGTCCTTTCTTCTCCATTTTACCCAAAATATTTTTTCTGAAAATTCACTTCAGTTCTGAACCTCTAAAGACCTTAATTAGTAGGCTAAGTTACACAAAATAATTTTTTAAGTGATTATCAAGTTTTAAAATCCATTTGATATTTAATCCCGTATCACTTCTTTGGGTGCTTATCTAATCAATTCCAGATGTGTTAACTGGGAAAAGATAACTTATTAAGCTTATACTGCACCACCATCAAAAGACAGAGAAAAATGTGAAGATGATACATGTACTGAAGAAGGTGATATTGCTGCTACTGTTGCTGATGATGATGATAAGGATGAGGAGGAAGAGGGAGAGGAGATGGATGAGGGAAGAAAGGGGAGAGATTGATAGATAATGAATAAATATGTTGAATGTCCCAAGAACACAATTTATGATGACTACAAAGAGCCAAGTCAAGAATCTTGTCAACATTATAGCCTCTCATCTGCTTTTCAGGACAGCCTTATTCACATCTACAAACTTGTGGAGATTTTTTTTCTTTTTTTTGGAAAGTGTTTTACAGCGCTAGCAACTGCATAAGGCCATATATGAGCGTGAGGGACACACCAAACATTTTAGTTGGTAGGAAATTTTGAATTTTCCCCGGCTGGCGACCAAAGCCTACTCTTATTGATTTTAGAAAACCAAGGGATCTTTACGGGACCTTTGAATGACAGGCGAACACCTTAACCTCTAGGCCACGAGAGCCCCCTTTGTGGAGATTAAATTTAAAAACAAATTCATATTTTTGTTCAAGAACACATGACAAAGATAGTGGAAAGTCTAACACATCACATCAGGACAGCTTCTAACTGATGTTAGTATTATATTAAGGCATTTGAGGGGGGGGGGGGGAGAGAGAGTGCAATCATGTGACAGAGAGATGATCTAAAACCTCCATTCAAAGAGCATTTTTATTTTTATTTGAAAACTGTGTTTACTTTTTGAGAGCTGAACTGAACTGTGCATACTTATAAAATGTCGTTTAAAGACTTGAATTATTATTTCTATCAATCTTTGAAAAGGAAAAAAACCTACTCTATCATTTTAGAATGTTTGATTATCTGTAAATCATTATAATTAAGCAACAGTACCTCCTAAGCTTAAAGAACTTGAATCCGCAGTAGTAGAAAGATAAGTTATCACACTTTCAAAACATGCATTGAGAAGAAGTTCTGCCGCAACCCTGTGAACGTGAAGTACTGAAAGGCTTTTGGAGAGATCTCCTGAAAAAAAGGAAACAATGATATTAATGTTTAATTTTGAAAACTTTCTCTCTAAACACCCCTTCCTCTAAGAAACGTCATATAAAATGAGGAAGTGTATAGCAATTAAAGTTTTGTTTATGCAATAGCTTACCTCTATAACCTCAAACCTACCAGCTACAAAGTTGGATTGAAGAAAAGCATAATACGAACTGACTTGTCACAAAAAGCCACTATACTCTTTTTCAAAAATCGTATTAAGAGAGATATAATTACAGCAATTAAAAATGCCCCCAACACATCAAATACCTTAGGTGCTGAATAAAATGCAACCATAGAATTTCTGTAGATAGCGGGGGGGGGGGGTGTAAGTATCAGAGCCAAGACAATATCAATATAAACCACACCACTGGTCAACTTACTATCCTCTTTGCTTATTGTTTGCTGACTAGAACACTGCTGTCGCATTCCTTTCAGTAAGAAGCGTGTTATACCCAAAGGCACAGATAAGAGCGAGGTTCCTGGCTTGATCAGAGAGCTGGCCTTTACCCTTTCAAAATGTGGAGCTACAGATGCCAGTAAACACTGCATTGGTTGTTCGAAATGTCCTGAAAAACATATTGAAAAGAAACTTAGATTCTAAAAGCTTTTAAGTGTTCTGAGTACCTTACACTCATCAATACATTTTATATCATTTAATACAATACAGCCTACTTTGACTGTGGCTAAAAGCAGAAATAATATGGTGATATGCAAACAAATTAGACTCCCAATCATAAATTTGTCCACAGGCAAAGAGCCTCACCATTACAGCACAGCAAAGATGACACCACAAGATGGTTTGCATTGTCCATTGCAGCACAGCAACGATAACACACTTCAAAATGGTTCCCTCTGTAAGAATAATGTTCTTGACCCTCAACATGCACTTTTATAGACGTCACCATCAGTCAGTGCTGATTTAAAAAAGCAGTTCTTTCAGAATAATCTCTGCTTCTACTCTATACATACAAGATACATCACTCCCTAATAAATGTATAAAACCAGCAACGACAGATCTGTCATTTTCAGCCTTTTTTAAGAAAAAAATTTAAAACTTTTAATAGAAGAGTAAACCACCTTGAGGTGTACAATCTTCGACCATAGAAGCCTAATTAAACCTCTCAGACCGTGAAAACCGGGAATATTCAAAACATCAACTATGCCGGATTACCGGTAATTGGGAGGCCGTGTCATAAAATCATGTCATATTTAAAAATAGCCAGCTAGTCAGCTCTAAACTCCGCATTTAGTGCGAGAACTGATCATGGCAAATGGTAGACTCCATGAGGTTGGACTGCAGTGTTGTTTGTCTTCTAAATTTTGGATTTTTATTGTCATGAAGAGACGTGCTGATGAACCAAGCACTTCGAGAGAAAAGAGGGTTAGGTCTCAACTGTTTACCACACAATAAGTGCTTGAAGACCAATCCGATTATGAAGGAGATCTTGATCATGACTTCGAGAGCAGTGGTAGTAGTAGTGATGAAAGCATGGACTTGGACGATAGTGGCGATGATGAACAAAATGCGTTTCTGCACACTTTTGATCAGGAAGCCAGGTATAGGGGGAAGTTCGGTTCAGGGGGTTAGGTCCGACAGGATTAAGAATAATAATAAATGACATTTATATAGCGTTCAACCTGATCAAAGTACACAGGCTCTGGGCGCTTTACAAAACAATACAACAGTAACATAAAGGTTGTGTTCTGACCATAACAAAATTTCTCCGAATATTCATCTTATCAATTTAAAAACAGAAATAACTTCAGCTGACACTTGAATGATCAAAGGATTTGATCTCTTTTAAAGTACTTGGCAAAGCATTCCAGGTTTTGGGGCCTTGTTGATATTCAATGCCCTTTCACTTATTGTTTTAAGGTTCATAGATGGTTAAAAAAAAATCTTATTGGCAGCTGATGACCTTAAACTGCGAGTTGGAAAGCACAGTCTCAAAAGATTTGATATATATGATAGCGCATTATCATTCAATTAGAAATCTAGTGATAGATTTTTAACAAATGTGAGGCAGCGTGGTGGAATCAGGCTCTTGTCAAAATAATCAAAGTGAAGAAACTGGCATTTTTCTGCTAGTTTGTGAATTTTTATCGAATTTTTATTTTTTAGCTCAACACCTTGCATGCCCATTAAAGAACTCATTTCTGAGTGGATTTTACTGAAAATCATTGATTAAAAGCACAAAAAATTTTAATGTTTATTTACAACAGGCCCTTAAGCTAAGGAAATAACTAATTTTTGGTGGTCATTTTCTCACTAATTTACCTCTGAAACCGGGTGACCACCACCTCCTTCATTCGCAAGTATCACGACTTATATTCAAGATAAATGAATATTTTTTTTCATCCAAAAAAAGACAAGAGAACAAGCTTTAAGATGATACCAATAGCTGTACATGCCCAAAAATTGATGTGAGCCTGATTCCACCACGTCGTGACACAAATTGTTAATACTATTTTTTCGAGGGGTAGAAGAATTTGAAGAAATTCAGAATACCAGTTAGTACATTGTGAAATGCATCTTTCCTAAGAGAAAACGTGTCATTTAGGAAATAGAAAATTAAAAAAAAAACTTGAGTGGTCAATAAAAATGAGTTTAAAAAACTGCTTTTAAAGAGAGACATAATGCATCCAATAGAAAATATTTCAGATCAAATGAGTCAACTCATCTTAATTACTTCAAAGATAAACTTTGTGAGATTCTTCTATCAAATTAATGGCCAATTCACAATGATCCCAAGACGTTCAGAAGTGTTTCTTACCTGCAAATGGAACTTCAATTGACTTGAACATTTCTGTTTGGGGGCTTCTTATTTTTTGCTCCCTTGATACCATTTCAAGGCTGGGATGTAAAACCTTTTGATCTGATGATGATGGTAGTCTTGCTAGGTAAAGAAAAGAAAATGAGATTCTCAAAGTTTTTCATATCTTTTCCATCCTGGCTCAGAATGTATCTCTAACTAAATCTGAGCCTGCCTTTCAAGATTGAGTTCCAAGGAGTGAATATTTTAACGTGCAATATTATTGTTCCATGAAAAGTACTTAATCAAAATTATTAATCAAGAAACAGCTAAAAAGGATCACAAAATATATTGTTAAATTTGCATGGCTTTTAACGAATGGATAACTACAAGACAAACATTTATGACGTATACTCGTTCAATTTCTAACTTGCACCAATCCTTGCTTGATGCTAGATCTAAAAAACTAAGTGTTGGTTTCATTTTGCGCTTGATGAAAAAGGTGACGATCCAATGTTGTATATGGGTGGTCACCATAGATGTATGGTGGTCACACAGAAGTGACAAAGGTGTAGACAACTGAACTGATATACAGTCCCCGCAGGTATGTGTTTGATGGTTTAGTTTTCCTGTATCAAGCGAAGCATGCTGAACATATTACTTGTTTATTCAGTTTGCATACATCTTAAAAAACAAAACAAAAACAATTACATTCAAGTCCAGACAGTGACATTGAAGCAAATAAAAGTGGTGAACATTTCTTCAATATCAATGATAATAGCAACTTCACACTTCAATTTGGTTAAATTGCTATGTCATAGTACCTTTCTTTGGGGAAGAATTCTTGGACAGAACGTGCATAAAAGAATCTAATGGAGCCATATCCATTGTGAAGTCATCAGCAGCCATCTCACAATTTTGTCCAACTGAAGATGAAATAAGCATAATATGAAGAAAGAAAGATAACAGAGTAGATATTAAAAGTAGATCACATTCAGATTTCTTTTAGTCACGAAGTTCTATTTTCTCCTCTCCCCCTTATCATAAAAAGGCTTTTCAGGTGATCTGACTTATCACCGATGACCCAAGCAAGTGTTTCGGCTTCAAAATATTGTGGGCTATTTTCATATGTCAACAATGTACCACTCCGAGGTCAAATGGTCCAAACTATCATCTGTGAAGTACTGTTACATTCTTTGCAAAGGGCTAGTTTGATTCCTATGCAGGGAAAATATTTAATCAAGAATGGCTTTCTGCTTGGATGTATCTCCACATGGCTCCTGTTGACTGTTGATCCCAAGTAGGTAAGGTCAAATCAGCCAATCTTCAAAAAGATTTAATTCATTGTGTCAATGAGGTGTTCAAAATGTTCAAATAAAGCAATAAAAAGTACCCAGTCTCTCCCATAAGACAAGAGCGGAGTTGGTAGTTTAGTGGTTAGGCTGCCAGACTCACAACCAAGAGGTCAGAAGCTTAAATCTCAGTGTTGTGACCCTGGGAAGGGCACTTTACACAAATTTCTCTGACTTTAACCAGGTGAGAATGGGTATCCATCTAAAAGCAGTGAAAGGTTTTGTCAGTATACGTTGGAGTCTGAGAACATGCAAAATGACAGCCTGCTTCCCAGGAAGATGAGAAAGTTCTTGACTGTTACAAAATCTGTCAGGGTAATAATAAAGTGTAAAAGGTACATAACCTACTTTTTAGTAGGAAAAAGTGCTGTACAAATGCAATCTAGTTATCATTCACATCTATAGTCATCATTACTCTTTCTCTACTTTAAATGAATGGCCACTGCTATCACAAAGTGAAATTTCTTTTCTGGACAGAAATGATGCTTGATATTCTTAGGACAAATAGTAAAAATTAAATACACGTTGCCAATAGCAAACTTTTACCAGCAAATTGGGAAGAGGAATAGATACAAGACATTAATTCAAAGAACATGACGAATTCCAAACAATATTAACATCTTTGTTACATTCATTCAAAATCAAGAGAAAGAGCAAATGTGTTTTTTTTATATATATATACTATGTCACATTTTTAAGTATACACTGTGTTAAAATGAAAATAGCTAGTTTCACAACAAGTCGATATTCTTTAAAATTTCAGGAATACGAATTCAATCAATTTTAAAAACGGAAAAAAAGCAACAACAGTGCGGAATGTTAGCATAACAGATTTATTCATGAATTACAAGAGTGTGGGGGTGGTCTACAAAAGTAACACGATCAGTAGCGTTGATGACGGCCTGACATCGTCGTCGCCTTGAATCAATCAATCGCTGCATTGCCTGCTGAGGGATGTTATTCCACTCTATATGCGACGCTCTCTCAAGTTGAAGAAGTATCTGAGGCTGGTGTAGTCGCATGTTGTTCAACTTATCCCTGGTTCTTCTTGCAGTTTTGAAACGATTCCGTAGATGCGACAGGCGTATAAAAAGATCCTCTCTTGGAGTAGTTTTTCTTCTCCCACGTTGACGTGTCGATCCTTGCCTGATTTTGGTGTTTTCTCAGGATCCCCCCCGCGGATCATTCCAACGAGCTGATTTCGCACATTTTCTCGTACTGCGTAACATCATGAAACGTAGGCAAGACAAGTTTTCTCACTGGCGAATTGTTACAAAAATGGCAAAGCTTTGATGTGGGCTTCTTGTTTGAACAAATCATTGCCGTATCATGGTTAATTTTCAAAAAACACGAAACATGTAACACGCATGCAGTTTCAAAACCACTCACGCGTTCAGAAATCTGAAATCAGCTCACCAGCGACAGGTATATCACGTAATCAGTGCATAAATTTTAAAGTAATTGGTAGCATAGATTTTGTTTTATTGAGCTGCAAAATGTGTATACTTAAAAATGTGGCAGAGTATATATAGCATTAAACACTCTGTACAAGGCTGGTGCTTCTGTCAAAACTGTTAACCAACGTGTTAAACTTTAATGGGATCCCTTATTCCTCTCACTGCTTGTGAAGCAGAAAAATTTTCACCATCATAATTTTCTTTTTTTGATACATGAGCTACCAACCACTGGTTAACTAGGGTGGGTTATACCTTCCTCTCTGCTCTTGTTCCAGAAACTGGTTTCCAATGTACTATCCACACTGTCTGCTTTAGTAATGTTGACTTCTTGTTTCTCATGATGATCTTCTTGAAACTGGACATCTATACTCAACACAAATATTCTCAAATTAGGATCCACTGATAATAAATAATTCTCTGAGCTCGTTTGGTTGTTTTTTCCAACCATTGCTTCACAAAAGTTTACTCAAGAATGTACTAAACAAAAAGCTAAAAATAAATTGACACAGCTTGTCAATCAATAGACTATTTTCACAGGTATTGCTGAGAAAACCTCGGAACAAAAAAAAACTATTCTCAACTCACTTAGCAAAGGCAATCTACATTGAACAAAAACTCTATCTCTCAAAATATCTAATGCCATAAAAAGGAATGCAATAACATCAGAATAGCAAGAGTAAAAGAAGTTAAAGCATAAAAACCAAGACTTTTCTATCTTTTTTTCATGAGACATAAAGAATAGTACCAGTAAATCAAAAGAGAAGAGACACATATTACAGAGGAGAAGAAAACAGACAACCATTGTTTCTCAAAATGATATTTCTATTTGATAATTAACATTACTGACCTGACTTTGATGAAAAAATCTCACTAAATATGTCTGAGTCATAAGACCTGGGCAGGGTCACATCTGAAACAAATTTTCCCACTGAAAGGGTTGAATATTCTTTATGATGGCAATTGTAGTCTGAGGTCTCATTTGTCCTCTCCAGTGGCTGTAGTTTTAAAGTATCTAACAACTCATTCACGGTAGAACACCTGCTTTCAAGTTTTGATGATACTAGGGATGGCTCTGAAAGACAATTGAAAAAGCAAAGATAGAAATATACATCACTATTAAGTTTTCAACGGCAATATATCAAAGAACATTAAAACGCTACTTACTCTCTGTATTGAGTGAGAAGTATAATGTTGCTTTCACTCTATGTACAATATATTATTGTTACTATGTAACTCACAAAGAATAAATGATATGTGATGCATCGTGGAGAAATAGTGCTCATCAAAATAATGAAATCAAAGAAACCAGGATTTTCTGGCCGTTGGGCAATTCTTTTCAAATTTTCTTAGTCTCAATACCTTTTATGTCCATTTTAAAACACATTTCATTGTGGATTTTACTAAAATACGAGGGTAAGTCAAAAAGTAACGCAAGTTCGTTTATAACTTAAAGAAAAAAGAACACATTTGCAACTATTATACCTCAAATTAAAGAGGAGCATCTGAGGATCAGTGTTCTATTTCTCAACATAGTCTCCATTTCGTTCAATAGCCACTGTCCATCTTTTACTACGGTTGGTCGTAGGGGTATAGCAGTCTTGATTTCTCCATCGTTTCCATAGTGTTACCCTCTCAATGGTTCTTCTGATGGACCGAAAAAGTGGAAGTCTAAAGGAGCCAAACCAGGAGAATCAGTCGGGTGTGGCAGTGTTTTCCACATAAACAGGGTGATTGTTTCCCTTGTTCTGGTACTCGAATACAGGGGGGCATTGTCATGGTGAAAAAACCCACTTTTTCCATGGACAAATTTAGTCTGACTCGGTGAATTCTCGTTTCAATGTAGGGTTCAGAAATGACAGAAGCTACTCGTGGTTATAAAAAAAATTATTATAATATGTTAGCAGCACGCTATGAACGTCCTAAAACACAATTGCCATGATTTTTCTGACTGACTCCTCGGGATGATGCTTGTCTAAAATGGACTCCTCTTCCTCTTCTTCCGGTTCATTGCTCAAACGTCTGCTCAAACGTCTGCTCAAACGTCTGACCCATCTACATACAGTTCCAAAATCTAGAGCTAGGTCCTTGTAAACATTTTGAAATCTCTTTTGGGTGTTAACGGCGGATTCTCCTTCTAAAACAAGAAATTCAATCACAGCTCTTTACCTCTGACAGACCTCCAAGAGGGTAGCCATTTTGATTCGGGCCAAAATTAAAGAAATTAAAATTTTAACAATTTAAGTTCAAAAGTATATGAGCAAGTACTTGTGGGCTGAATCAAATTAAATTTGATGGAAAATTGTGCAAAATAACAAACAACTTGCACTACTTTTTGACTCCCCCCCTCGTATATTGATCAAAGGTAGGCTACATTAAATGTAAATTTGCAGTTTTCAATGACACTTACTCTTTGGAAGTCACCAAAGTTTGTTGGCCATTTTCTCAGTAATTTTTTAATTTTATGTCTGACACCGGGCACACCTACCACCTTCAATCGCAAATATTTCAACTTCTATTTAAGATAGATGGGTTGGGGTTTGTACAAAGCAAGACAAATGAAGGGCACAAGGGTAAAACCAGCCATGTCAGTTTTTTTCATTTTCTGGGTTATTGTCCCAGCATGATGAATGGTTGGGTCTGCTTTAGTACATGTACATCTAAGTAACATACGGAAAAACCAGCTCTGCCAGTCTCTGTGAGAATTTTTTTTTAATAGCCCACAATGGAAGAACCAGGGATGTCAAGAATACTTTTCTTTGTTGCGTCCCTTGTGACTAGTCAGTGACCCTATTTCAGTGAAAAAAATGGTGAAGTGGTATAGGTTTAACGTCCCTGTCAACACTAACAGTAGTATTAGGTTCTTTAAGAGGCCCGTTCTCTGAGTTTAACGTCCATCCCCGAAAGGACCGAGCCAAATTGGAAATTCACGTAAAGTGCAATTCCCACGCCAAGGACACAACGTCGAACCCAGCTGAGGCTCGAACCCCCGCACTAATCTTATATGCGCTGCTAAACGGGAAAATCATTCATCGAGCACCCATGTTACGCTAATCTTTGATTTTTCGAAGAACTTGGGCTGCCCAAACCTCTCAGTAGACAATTTGTACAATTGTGGCAGCTATCTTTCTTGTTCTTTAAAATCTACTAAGTGATGAAACAGTACACCTGTACTGGTACACGACAATCAGCAAAAAGTGTGGAGACAATGTCGCCAGCTTGCTACTACATTACTTTCTACACATTCTGCCAGCTGATGTGACTTGTGCGCAGCCAAGAACAAGAAATGGACGGTGATCTGGTTTCTCTATCGATATCATGTTGTTGTCTACCATTAAAGGTATAAACAAAAAAGTGAAAAACTCGTTTCCAGTGAGAGGCCACAGGTACATGGAATGCGACAGAGACATTGCAGGGGTGAATGAGAAGGTCCCTGTTGGGTGGAGCAATTCAAAACAGCCCTTCTTAAACCCTCTCTGCTGAGGATAACACATGCATTATTCCAGAAAGTGTCAGAAAACCTTAAATCGTACTGCCCCTCCTGCCATATACCCACTCGACCTCTGCTTGAAATCTGCATCTCACAGGCCCATCCACAACTAATGCAGTATAGAGAGAGCAAGAATGGTCCGTTTCACACGGCAATCATAATGAAACCGGTGGAAAAGAAGCGCGCTGCAAGACCCCAGCCCCTGAAACCCCTCTATAAGAGCCCACTGGCCATCAAGGCTGCCAAATATGTAGACATGAAGGTCTTAAAGGAGTTCTGGCCCAATAGCTTTTCTTCGAATTGCTCTATGCTGGAGGACCAAGTGCCACACAAGAGTCTGATGACTCAGAGTCTTCATCCAAAAATGAATATTAAACAAAATGAAAATAAGCATAGTAAATATTACAAAATGGGGTGCAATTTTCTAGTTTGAATCCTTTAGTTTTGTTTGTGTTCCCAAATAAGTAAAGAAGTTCACAATTAATTGACTTCCTAGAAGATGGAGACTTGCCAACAGCTTACAAGGAAAAAACCAGCGTTGTCAGTTTGCTACATAATTTTTCAATTTTGCTCTCACCGTAATATACCTATAATACGAGGACAGTGAAAATTTCTCATTGTCAACACAAATGGTCGTACTTGAAGTCAATTTAAACAGCGGAGAAATCATTGTAACAGAAAAAGAGTTATAAGCCTTTAAAGTCTGTTTTTCAATAATCTCGGAATTGCAAAAACCTGACATCGCTGGTTTTTCCCTTATGCCCTTCAAATGTATTAGCTTTAAGATGATAGCAATCACTCCATATGGCCTAAAATCGGACATCGCCTGATTCCACAGTATTTTGACACATATCAATAGAAGGTTAAATATATACTCATCAATTCAATATAACCGTTCCCCATTGTATAGTAGATACAGTGTGGTTAGATGGTAAATAACAAATCTAAAGATAACAAAACTAAGTACGGTGCATTTTTGCTTGTATTGTTCTCTTATGTGCACAGCTAGCTTTGCTTGGCTTCTTGTAATACCACATTTGGTGCTTCAGATCTTCTTCTCTTCTGTTTTTTCATAGAGTTTATGCTTCATTGCCGTAAAGCGATACTAGCCATATATTAGTGTTCTCCGTATTTCAATTTTCAGTGGTTTGGAAATTATCTGTTTTTCTGCATTGTATCAATTAGACCACAGTGGAGTGCGTTGTTGTAGTAATAGACGTGAGCGAAATCTACGAGTCCAACAATATAACAAACATGATTCACTTCATGTATGGTCAAACACCCACAAGTGACTGAGATCCGGCATTCAGTAAAGACAGACAAAGTGATACAAGAATAGGTAATCAAGTGTTTGTTACGTGGGTGCAGTACTCAAAATGAGCATAGTACACAGAGTAATTAGATTGTTCTAAATAGTCTTACTTTTCTTTACTTTTATCCGCCGCTTATACCCTTTTGGGTGTCGCGGGATCCAGACATTGGGGATTGCCTTGTTAATGAGACAACTTCCTGGGCCTTCGGCATATTGTGATGGGGTGGCCAGTTCCTTTCCACGCCACTTTTACTTGCCCAACTCGAAGCCAGATACCCATGAATGCTGGGTGGGCAGGAGGGGGCAAAAAAAATCCATGTCCGAACCGAGGCTCAAACCCGGACTTTCCACTTCGGAGACGAGCGCACTAACCGCTCCGCCACCGCACACTCGCTCTAAATAGTATAGTGTTTTAATTACATTGTTTTTTCCACTTTGACTTTTCTTGCACTGATTACTTTTTTGCTTGTGGTTTCTGTTGATTAGCATGATTTAATATATCATCTAAAATGGTCATTTGTAATGATTCATAGTTGCTTAAAATCCAGTTTTCAGATCACATGACAAAGAAGACCCGCCACAGAAACACGAGATTGTAAAACCTGTTGAGAGCTTGAAATCAAGAAAATCTCCAGATATGGACTAAAAAGCCGGTGCGCATTCTTTTGTGCCCGAAGACGGTCTGGTCTGACCGTCGGTGTCGGGCGTTAATATGGTTGCAGCCTTATGGAATCCCTTGCCAGACTTCAAGAGCGTTGTTGGGAACAGTACCACTGCTTTTGAGGTAAAGACAGGAGTTAGACAAGGATGCAACATGTCAGCAATTCTGTTCAACCTGGCCATTGACTGGGCCATGAGGAAAACAACAGAGGATACATCAAGAGGCATAAGGTGGACCCTCTTCTCCACCCTCGAGGATTTTGACTTTGCCGACGACCTTGCACTACGCTCCCATACCAACCAGCACATGCTGAACAAACCGACTCCACAAATACGGACGCCAGATTGGGTTAAGAATAAGCCAGAAGAAGACAGAAGTGATGAAACTGAATGTAGGATCCCCGACGCTGATTAGAGGGAACAACACAGACCTGCCTATAACAGACACACTTACCTACCTTGGCAGCATAATCAAAACTGACGATGGCACAAAGGAAGACATCATGAACAGACTCGGCAAGGCAAGATCTGTACACAGAAGCATGATCAACATCTGGAAGTCAGGACAGTTTAGTATACAAACCAAGTTAAAGCTGTATAACAGCTGTGTACTATCCACACTCCAATATAGAGCTGAATGCTGGAGGATGACTAATCATGACCATGCCAAGCTATCTTCCTTTCATACAACCAGCTTACGCCAAATCCTCAGAATCATCTGGCCCGAAAAGATTTCCAACGCAGATCTGTTACGAAAATGTAGGCAAGAGGACATGACCACCATAATAAAAAGGAGCAGATGGAGATGGATTGGGCATGTTCTGAGAAGAGAACCAGACTCTATTGTGAAGACTGCCCTCCACTGGACACCCGAAGGACGTTGCAAAAGGGGCAGACCCAAAGCGACCTGGAGACGCACAGTAGAGTCTGAAATGAAGTCCTGGAATCATTCGTGGGGAACGCTGACCAAGATGGCCCAAACAGACAAAGCTGGAGATCCTTTGTTGCTGCCCTAAACTCCAGATGGCGTAATGGGTAGTATTAGTAGTAAGTAAGTAAGACAAAGAAGATGTTGAGAACAATATACTCATGTCTGAGATTATCTATACAATTTATAGAAATTCACATTATAGAAAATATGGTTCTGCAACATTTGCAAATGCGCGTATGATTTTTCTTACTTTTAACAGCACACTACCAAAGATTGTGTATTACAAGATAGTTCTCTCCTCTCTTTGAACCAATTAAAAAAGTGTCCTCAAAATTATGTGGCGCCCTCTTCGAAAAAGTGCGGACTTTGTGATCAAAGTTATCCTACTTGTGTGAAAAACAATAAAAGTGAAACTTACGAACTGGGCTATTCCTATTCTTCTTCAGGAAAAATGAAAGAGAGCTTCCAAAAAAAAAGACTGCAGCGCCGTCTGAACCAATGCGCGGACTACCGCGGACACTTTTTGGCTGAGTGAACTATCTTGTAATGTACGATCTTTGACACTACTTTAAGTGAAGGCCATTTCAAAGGTTGCCATTTTGTACTCAAGGTAGGTTAATGAAATGAGAGGATGTGTACGCTAACAAACGAAATAAAAGAAAATGGAGCAAAATGACAAAACCAACCATCTTTTTCTCTATTTTCATTTCCCCTGAGAAATAACTTTTCCTGGACTAGGTCACTTTGCCGGCAAAACTATCAGTAATATACTTTATGCATACAAACCTGGCAACTGGGCTGAATCAAATTGTTTTTCTCCACTTTGCATCAACTGTTCATAGTTATAAATTTGTTCATCTTTCAGAAGACACCTGAAAATATATTGTTTGATTCAGATGGAATTTATTTGTAACTTTTTCATTTATACCATAAGGTAAGATCCCAGGGGAAAAAATGTATGAACACACACCAGAATAATAGAAATTAAGGGTAACTCATGAACGCCACGCTGCGCCTCAAGATGTGACCTTTGCACAAGGTATGCGTTGCAGGCATGATTCTCATAGCAGCTATAGTTATAGGCATGTTTCCTCCGTTGATTTTTGTTTGAATGTAGGTCTATCATAAAACAGGACTAGTCAGTGAATGCTCAATTCCCCCCAAACTTATTCACTTTTAATTCAGTTTCAGGGGGCGAGTTACAGAAAGTGTGAATTGCACCCTTGGGGGAGATTCTACTTCACTATCCAACCATCAATACTACTGCATAAGAATATCAAGAGGTAGCTAGAATAAGCTCCCTTCCTCTCCCTGTTTTCCCCTTTACCGGTGAGAAATCAGCACACAGATTTGATTATGACCAATGAGCTCTCTTTCATCCCAGTATTGGGAATAAAATGTTTCATGGATTGAAGCAATAAAGGATACACTCACAAAAAAGGGTGTTTATACAGGGTGTTAAAACTAAAAGGACTGCTTACTCAGTCAAGTTTGCCCTAATTTCAACAAAACTGAACAAATGTAATATACAGAAAGGGACCTCAATTTTGTCAATATAAAGAAAATCAACTCATATTTCGAGAAATATCAAGTTTGCAAAATGTCAACCAAAGTTGAGTGAAAAAGCAAACTTTTAGTTAAACATTTTCTTAAAAATCAACCACAAAGTGTATTTATGCATGGGGGGCTGTGGGTGTGTGGGAGGGGGGGCGGAAGCTGAAAGCTATCTCGCTAATTAGTGGATCAAATGTTACCAAAGTTCACACATATAATGAGGAGAGTACGGAGTCTTAAAATGTGCTATCAAATTTGAGAAAAAAATTTCGTTTCCATGAAGAGGGCGACCACATTGGATTTTGTTGACATGTCTTGCGTAATTAAAACCACATTTATTTTTCGTGGAAACAAATAATTTTTATTGCATGCATCTTGGCAAGCAATAGATCTACAAATTCGTGTGATGAATTTTTCCTAAACGTACTAGAAATTTTTTAATGAATTTTTTCCTGAGGAAGTATTCATGCTTGAAAAAAATCCGTGAAAGGCAACACTCCAAACATCACCAACAAAAAACTATTCTGTATATCAAAAACTCATTACACAAATTTTTAGTATTAGAGCCTACGTCTTTTCTTCATTCTGTGAAAATTTCTTGAACATTGGATGAAAAATGGGGGAGTTACTTTAAAAAATATTTTTTTAAAACACCTTGCGAGAAAACGGGCGACAAAGAAAAATAAAAAATTGACCTTATGAGGAAATGATGGTGACAAACATGCCCGGTATGGGAAGAATATATTACGGCTTTAGGGGGTTCTTATGCAATGAAAGAGTTGTAAGAGATTCTGAAGAAGCTACAAATGCCTACAACTTAAAATCCATAGTTTTGAGCCAAATCGGGACTTTCTGGCGCCGCCCCCCTGCCTTAAAGAACAAATTCATTGGAACTTGTTTCATAACTGACCACACAGCGACCAACAGAGAAACATTCCAGTCATTGTAGCAACTAAAAGAATTGTGATCAAAGTGCCCATCTAATTCAAAGGTTCAAAGGTCATGCAGTAGGGTGTAACGTAAAGACAAAGGGAGCAAATTTGAGCTGAATTGGAGAATTAAGAAAGATACAAGGGGGAAATTACACTTATCATACTCACAACTTAGATCCAAGCCCTTCTTCTGGTTTCACTTTCAAATGCTTTGAAGCCATTTCAAGGCAGTTTTCCAGGTTTTCATCATCTACTATAGAAATATATTGCAAATTCATGAATGGAGAGCTGCTTGATTGGTCTATTTTCTCGAAAGATGAGCCGCATCCTGTTGAAACAAATTATTGACATCAAAGTCTAAATTAGGTAAAGCAAAGTAAAATACAAAAAGCTAGAATGCAGTTGCAGGAACCATAAAATTGTTACCACTGAAAAAAATAGAGATTCTCACAATTTATAATGTGGAAGTTTAAGAATTGTTTTAAACCATTCATATAATGTTTCTGTGATACAACCTCTACAACTCTTTGGCATATGGTTTCAACTTCAAAATTCCTTCTAAGCCATCTTCAAAAATACTTTATTCCCCCTCCTTTCCTTCTTCACAGGACTAAGGGGTTATGAGTAGACCTAATATACACCATCAGCGAGAGCTGAAACCCTTCCAAAGCACTCTGAGTGGAGGTGCATGTGTGATGTAAATAACTTTGACGCATGCGTATCTTCTTTCACTCCTCTTTCACTCTAAATACTGGACCAAACATTAGACCTTTAAAACTTTGCTGTCACACAGCCAGCAGTACAAAATACCCCATCTGGTCATCCAGCCAGGAGAGTGACTGCAACAGACTTCTTGGGCCCGGCGCTTTAGTTCCGGTATCCTCGGGCCCGGCGCAGGTGGCCTTAAGGCATCATTTTTCACCGCCACATTATTGCACCAAGTGACCACAAAGTGTTAATGACCTATTTGGGACTGTTATGCTGTCAATTTCATTTCTACATTATAAACTTTGAAAAGATACTGTATCTATGAGACAATCTATTCGGTGACGATCATGAATAGTGAGATGGACAACAATGTCAAGAGACATTGCAGACCAAAACTTCAAGGTATTGGTATAGTTTTTTTTTTACTATGAGACACACAAACCTCCAAGCTACTCTCTCTTTACCAATTTCATTCAGCTCCTTGAGAGACAACAGCTGGGGACAATAGCTTGAGTGCGAGAGACTATCATCCATTTGCTCAATCTTTTCACGTTCAACAATGTTGGCTGTAATAAACAAGAGGTCATCTGAAATAAAACAAAGATTGTTTCTATGAAGAATTCACCATCAGTTTATGTTCCAAAAATGCTAACAAACAACACTTCTCATCTTTATTTTCAATTATTTGACAGCACTTTCCCTTCCCTTGGTATTTTCATATAGACCATAAAACATTCAAAATCTGTACAATCATATGAAATCTGGGCTATGTTCCTCCCTGCTGACTGCTCAGCAAATGGTTTTTAACACGAAAGTCATCATGACATGATTACTGAGAGTGAGATCTCACGCACACAAGAAAAAACTTTTCAAATGCACAAGATAACCAGTTCAATACAGGAAGAACTTTCTAAGCCATACAGTAATCACATACACATAAAGAAAGCAGTGAAGACAAAATACATCAGCACCTGCTAACACACTCCAACTACGACTTAAACAGCTGAATTGCTCAAACGTATTAGGATGTTTCGCTTCTCTGGGGTCCGTCCTGAGGCATAGAGCTCCAAATTTTAAAGCCAACAAAATGAAAAACTTCTCTCATCAAAAGACCTCAATTTCATTCTAGAGGCTCTGCATTTTGTTGCATTTCGTTGTGTCATTAGATGACCATAACTGACCTGATGGAACATATGGTGTCCAGACAGGTGTAATGGAGCATTACTGTTAAAACATTTACAGCGGACGATAGAAATATCCACATACTCATTTAACGGAGCAATATTTATTACAGCCTATCAAGGATAAGATAGTTTCTCTGAAATGTGTAGTTATTAATGGTTTGAAGATGTCATTCTGATCTCATGGGTATCTTAGGTACACTGCCTTTAACCAATAGCAATTTCAGAGGAAAACTGAAAATATTTGTAATTCCGTCTCATGTCTTGGTGGGCAACAAGTAGATCGATGCATCCGAAATTTAGACTACACTCCTTATCTATACTAGACAAATAGCAGTTCATGAATTTATATATTTCCATCTTGAAATGGAATGTCCATTTACTCTTTAAACCCTGAGTTTTTTTCCACCATTTCCCGGAATGTTTTCTACAGTCACCTAAACCTGGGGCACTATGTCTCATTATAACCCCAAAAGCTTGCCCTCAACTTCTAAATGGCGGAACAAGGGTTTAGTCATTACTAAAAGAAACTTGTTTCAGGAATAATTCTGAAAAACAAGCAAAAACTAGCAATAAATTAAACGAAATAGTTGTCAGTAGTATCGGACACTCCCAGCGTCCGATGGGTAACAAGGTTATTACCGCCGGACGCTCCCAGCGTCCGAAGGGGTTTAAAGAGTTAAGAACCAATTACTCCAATCAGCTACAGAAACTGTTGAGATCTGATATGTAAAAGGCTGATGTCTATAACACTGACAAAACAATACTAACGGTGTTGTTTTGTTTTGTTTACCTTTACTGACTGACCCAACATCCAATATCTCCAAGAAGTCAGAGGACAGAACATTTTTTCTGACATGATCTATGTTGCAGACATCTTGAAGAGAAGCCCAGTCAGTCTTTTCCACTCGAGGAAGCAAGAATTGCTCCTTTGCCAACAATTAAAAAGAAAGAAAGAAGGGACAAACGTAACATTTTATGTCAATCGCAATCGACACCCAAATGGTCAACTTGAATCTCTCAAGATATATACTGGATTCATTACAAAGTTTAAGCACCAATTAAGGTACTTAATTAATTTCATAAAGTGAAAGAAATATTCCTACATTCCAGACGCTTTTCTTTCAGATCAATCCCATTTATTTCTATGTTAAGCAGGTCATTACTAAATGTCTGTATCTTTTCAATTCCTACCCAGATTTATATAAGAAAAATTGGTGGGATTTAATAATTTTGCTGGTAATTATTTTTGCATGACAAGGAATACGAGAGAGGAGGTAATGATTCACAAATTCATACATTGTAGGGGCGTTTGGTTAACTGGACAAGACTGGCGGAGCCGTGAGTTTTAGTCAGCTATAGTGGACAAGAGATTGGCTGCTGATAAAAGTTCTTATTCAGTTTCAAGTAAATCCAAATTAATATTTTTCAAATTTAAAATAGCACTTTCCCTATAAAAATACGATCAAAGAGACAATAAGTGCTCGCCGATGTGTTGTCGCACTACAAAAACTCGTTCCTAAATCTCAGTTTATCTCGTTGGCTCAGAAAAATGTTGACAAGCTGTGCTGTCAGGATGCGCGCCTTCGTATCGCGCGCTCAACTGTAACGTCACCCATCTCCGCGAATTGAGCAGTTACCCTCAGAGCCTGCATGAAGATCACTTTTCTTGCCAATTTGGCTCTTCCGTTGCTTACAAAGGACGAGACAGTTCGTCTTATAATTTCATCAGTAATGTATTCGTCATTAAACCTGTCTCTACTCACTTTCAATTCATTCATAAATATATACTGTCATGATAACCTCAAATCTTTATCGCTATTTGAATTTTGAGACACCCGTGGTTCAGTCAGTATAGTGTTCTATTCACCGCTTACTTCCTGCTACAACCGTACCTGGCCCCCGCGTATTGGTGGTTTTGCCAGTCATTGTTAAGAGCAAAAATGTTAACGGAACTGCACTTAGCTGTCAGTCTGGACCCGACCGCCCCTCCCCCCTTCTTTTTTTCCCCTTTCCGTTCTCACCCCAGCCCGATTCTGTGTTCTAAAAATTAATATTTGATATAGAATTGCGATTGGAAATAGTTGTGTGCTTGCTTTACTCAATGCGTATGTGTTAAGTGTATTGTAGGCCTATTGTTTCAGTTTCTGCCTAGACTTGGTCTGCTTGGGACAGTGTTAGTGGTGTAGTATCAATTTGATTTTATGTTTCCCACAGACTACTATAAATCAGCTCGTTAACATTATCATTATGTACATAAGAATGTTTAGTGGAAGGGGACCATCTTCTCAAGGGCTCTACATGGGCTTGTGTGTGTTGTTTTGTGAAGGGGGGGAGTAAAGATAGAGGTGTAAAATGTGTCTCTGAGTGTATGTGTGTAGGAAGGCGGCAGGGTGGGGGGCGTGAGAAGAAGACCAAGGAGGTTGGAGGTTGAGGTAGGGTACGGGGCGGGAGGAGATCAATATGAATGATAGCCAGTCAGTTTCACAAACCATGAGCCGCCACTGTGTATATCATGATCAGAAATATCAAAGTCAAAGCATATTATAACATTATAATCATTGATTATGATCACTGATACCAAAATAAGATTACAGGTTTGTTTGCTCATAGTGCTACTAATAATTCAGAGCTTTCTGTACTAGAGCAGATAAGTAAGTGCAAATGTCCCTTTACTTTCCATAATCCATAAGCGTTTTTGAATAACATATATTGTATTCTTATACAGGCCAGAATGTTTTCTGGAAAATAATCAGAATTTAGCCTGAGCAGAAGGCCAGGGTGGTTTCGCTCTTTTTCCACTTTCAGCAACAGAGGAGAAGGTTTCAAAGATCACATAGCTTACAGCTCTATGAGTCTATTGTGTTTTGATACAAAGACAATGTACTTGGTACTCCTAATAAAGAGCTGGGGCAAAAAAGAACAGAAAAAAACTTTGAAACATTGACATGCCACACAGAATTGAATGCAAGCATTGGTAAGCAAGGCCAGTACAGTTCTTCAAAACCACATTCCCCCCTGGAAAACGGATCTTATCTTCACCTTTTCATTGCAGTTAAAATTGTGCTTTGTAAAGGAATCATCCTGGACTTCTTTGACTTCAGCAATGACAGAACGATCCGTCTCAAAAGAGTTAAGACCACATTTCCTGTTATTAAAAAAAGGGACAGAAATTAATTTGATATACATTATAAGAATACTCTTTGTTCTGATTGTACAAAAGGCATAACGGATTCTGAACGAAAGTAGAAGTTTGAAAAGTTTGTTCTTAATTAAATTAATATTTTGAAAATACTACATAAAAATGTTTCTTCTTCTATATACAAGTTTTAGAGGTGGAGCAACAAAATAGGCTCTTAAGTTTCCCTCATTAAGTTGGATAGTACATTTAAACCCAACAGAATCAAACTGAGAATACTATCATCCACTGCAGGTATCAAAAATAGATAGTGTATTGTATGGATCTTTTCGTCTAGGAAGACAGTCAATTTAGTTTAAGATGGTCTCAAGATTGTCTTCATACAGCTTCTTTCAGGGCTAAATCTTCCTGTGTTTGAAGTGCAGATTCTGTCGCAGTGCTTGCATGTCAGTGACGTGGATCAAAGCTCTGTATTTCCGCTGTTTTCCTTTCGTCGTTGGAGCTTCTCTGGTTGTTTCTAAGGCTGCTCTCTAGCATTATAGTTGTTTCCTTTATCCTTGTCCTCCGTGTTTTCCTGTCCTCAGCTATTTCTTCCCAGATTCTAACGTCTACTCCAAGCTTAGATAACCTGTTTTTGCAGGTGCCTTTGTACCTCAATTTTGGTCTTCCTCTTGGTCTCTTTCCCTGAGCAAGTTCTCCATAGAGAAGTTGCTTCGGAGTCCAGTTGTCGTCAATTCTCTTGACATGGCCCAGCCATCTAAATCTTTTTAAACACAGGAAAGTTGTTATGCTCTGGAGGTTTGCCCGTGCCAACACTTCAACATTTGTAAACTCGTCACGCCATGAAATGTCTAAGATCTTGCGGCAGCATCTGAGATGGAAAATGTCGAGGCGCTTTTCTTGTCTGCTGTACAAGGTCCATGTTTCAGATCCATTAAAGAGTGGGCTGAGGACACATGCTTCATAAATCTTGATCTTTGTTTTGATAGTTAATCTTTTGTTTTCCCTATGCTCGTTTTGTCAGCCGTCCAAAAGTTGTTGCTGTTTTCTCCATCCTGATGTTGATCTCATAATCCAGTGATGTAGTAGAGCTGATGTTACCCCAGGTAACAGAATTTGTCCACTGTCTCGAGTTCCTTGTCGTTCAGCCATATATGGCTCTGCTCTGCACCTTTTTGAGTAAAGATCACTGTTTTCTTAACACCGATGACCAAGCTAAAGACCTTGCAAGCTGTTGTCCATCATTGTTTGTAGAGTTGATTCATTGGGAGTAACAAGAGCAGCAGCATCGGAAAAGAGAAGGTCTCGTATTGTTGTTTCGTTGATCTTGGTCTTGGCCTGGAGTCGAGCAAGATTGAAGAGCAACCCATCATTTCTCCAATGGAGGAAGACATCCCCTGGTGACTCTTTGAATGCGTATTGCAGTAAGACGGCAAAATAAGTGCTAAAAGGGGTTGGTGCTAAGACACAACTTTACTCCGCTGTTGATGTTGAAGCTGTTTGATGTTGAACCGTCAAACTGAATGGTGGCCTTCATATCTTCGTGGAATGAGATGATGAGCTGTAGCAGTATTGAGGGACAGCCAGTTTTTTCCAAAAGCACCATATACACACTGCTGACTGCATCAAAAGCCTTTGTCAGATCGACAAACACAGTGTGTAATGGCAGTTGTTGCTCCCTGCATTTATAGAAAAGATCATGTCCATTGTTGAGTGTTTGATCTGAAACCGCATTGGCTCTCTGGCAGGACTCTTTCTGCTAGTTTCTGAAGTCGCTTAAGGATGATCCTAGCGAAAGCTTTTCCAGTGATGCTTAGCAGTGAGATACCTCTGTAGTTGTTGCAATCTCCTTTGTCCCGTTTGTTTTAGTAGAGTGTGATGATTTTGACATCTGTCATGTCATGTGGAATTTCTGCTTTCAGCCAACAAGTCGTTAGTAGCTTGTAAAGATATGGGAGGAGGGTCTCGTCTCTTTGTTCTCTTTCAGCACTTCAGCAGGTATGTTGTCATTCCCTGCTGCTTTTCTGCAAGCGAGTTCATCGATTGCAGAGAAGAGTTCTTCTGTTGGCGTTGTATCAAGTTCTGACATTTCGGAGAGCTGAGGAATGGCCTCATGTAGCTGTCTATCAACATGTCGTTCCTCTGAGTATAAGTCTGAATAATGTTCAACCCATCTTCCATTTGTTTCTTCTTATCTGTCAGCTGTTCACCTGTCGCAGACTTTAGAGGTGCTACTTTGTTTGCTGTTGGTCCAGTAGCAACTCTGATGTTTTCATACATGTTCCTGATATTACCTGTATCGCTTGCCTGTTGGATTTCTGAGCATAACTTGTCCCAGTACTGACTGGCACACTTTCTGGTTTCTCTTTGAAGGTTGGATTTAGCAGAACGTAGTTGTTGCTTTATACTCTCTGTTGGATTTGTGTTGTGTTCTATCAGGATCTTACGCTTTTTCTCAAGTAGTGGTGCGAGTGTTGATGCACTGGCTTCAACTCAGTCGTCATTGCAAGGTCTTTCTATTTCCAAAGGTAATCGACGCAGAATTATAAATTGTTGATTCCATCCCATTCCACATGTTGTCTGGGGATTAGCTATTTAGACTTGGGGCTGTTCTTTAACATGTTCTTGAAATTTTGCCTTTAACAATGGGTCTTTGGTATTTCTTATATTGATCTTAGGGGTTTTTTTTTGTTTTTCAGCTCTTTGTATTTTTCTTGTTGACTATCGTTGCCTTAGCTATAACTAAAAGATGGTCTGTGTTGAAGTCTGCACTGTAGAAGGATCTTGTTGATTTACCATGTTAGCATCTTTCTTTCTGAAGATGACGAAGTCGATTTGGTGCCAATGGTGTGATCTTGGATGGCACCAAGAAACCTTGTGTCTGTCCTTGCCACTGTAGAAGATGCAGAAGTTGTTATTTGTACAGAATTCTAAGAGTCTCTGACTATTCTCATTGATTTTTTCAAGCCTAAAAAGTCCAAGGCAGGGGGGGGGGGCATACTTTGTTTACAGTACCTACTCTTGCATTGAAGTCGCCCATGAGAAACAGTTGGTCTTCTTTTGGGACGTTGTTGATACATCCTGAAGTTCCTCGTAAAACTGGTCTTTTTTCTCATTTTCTGTTGTTAAGGTTGGGGCGTAGGCGCTGATAAAGTGAGCCTTTCCAGTTTTAGTTTTCATTTCCAGACAGTGATACGTTCGGATATACATTGGGGGGGGGGGGGGTGCTGATCCTGTTCAGCAACCTGTTGTGTACTGCAAAGCCCACACCATGGATTTTTCTCTCATCTTCCTCAAGACCCTTCCAGAAGAATGTGTAATTTATTTCCCTGATGGTACTAGAGTTAGCAATTCTTGTCTCTTGAAGGGCAGTGATGTCTACATTGAGTCGTGTGAGCTCCCTGTCTATGATTACTGTCTTTCTGGTGTCCTCTGTTTTCTCCAGGTTGGTAGTGTCCAAGCCGGTTGTCATTGTTCTAACATTCCAGGTCCCCAGTTTCCATGGGGTTAGTTTTACTCTTTTTTTGCCTGGTGCTGGATTTAACGTCTGCCTTTCAGTTTTTGTCCTAGCTCTATACACCCATAGAAGCAAACAGACGTGGCGGATCAGCCCCTTACAGACTGGGGGCTACCCAGTTTGAGACAGGCGATAGCTGATCAGTGTGACTGAATAGCCACTCCCATCATCAAAGGTGACCCGTAGCGACATCCTGTTTCGCCACATAAGGATGTCTTATAACACGTTAACTGCCACCTCCCGTGTTTTTTCCCTTGCTTATCACAACAAGGATGAAGTTTCCTCTCAACCATATGAATACTGCTGTAGCTGTGGTTGAGCTGTGGGTCTGGTCCGCTGTATTTACTCTTTTGCAGTGTCCTCCCAGAAATATTGAAATCTTGACAAAGCTAAATGCCAGGGCCTGACTGTATGGAGAACATGCCTTTCCCAATTTGCACGGACCCCCTCTAGACTTTGATGATTTAGTCCAAAGGAGTGACGGGGTCAATACATTTGGAACCTGTAGAGTTACAGGGGCTGCCAGAAGATAGTTCGGATCATTCCTCCCTGTCGACTGCCTTGGGAGCCCTCCCGCCGGATTTGTTTAGGGTTTACTCCGTTAGCCTTTCATACTCCCGTATGTACCTACAAGGCAGTAGGAAGAACATAGATAGTAATATTACAATATTACAATCTCAACCACAGCAGTGACCCGAAGTCAGTATTCTTAGATGAGTAAAAGGGGCTAAAACCAATTATGTAACAAGCAGCTTGCTTAAGGCGCAACAGCAGAAGAAGTAGCATAGTGCCACTGGTGGTAGTAGAAGCAGCAACAGCAGCAGTAGAAATATTTCTTAGTTAGAGTTTTTACCTACCCAACCCCCCTCCCCCCTTCAAAACACACACACACACACACACACACACACACACACACACACACACACACACACACACACACACACACACATACACACACACATGCATACAATCTAGATCACTTTGGAGTCACAGAGTTTTGACTTTGCTTATACTATAGGAACAAATCATGGCTTCCTGGGGTACACCGTTCCTGTAAAAAAATAAATAGAGTTCCTCAGAGAAAATCAAACTCACGTCTTTTGCATACAAACGAAAAGAGTCTAATTATATAACACAGATACCAGCAATAAGGCCAGTGCAAGCTTGAAAATGATTTTTTAAAATAAAATTGTCAGAGTTCAACTCCCTTATCAACACTGTGAAGATACTCAAGAGGTGAAAATCCTTCGCTTAAGGTCCGTCTCCAACATAACCAAGCGAGGGTGAGTGGACAGCCTTAAACTGAAACCTAAGTTCATGAATGCCGTTTGAGAATTCAAACCAGGGTTACTCACATCATAGCACATCATGAAACTAACTAAGATAATGGTGTGCCTGATTTTTTAAGAAAACACAAGGGTAGGATCAGCCATCTTCACTCCATTGCCTCATCTTGTGCCAAAACAAGTGCTGTATAAAGCTTTCATTTTTGACGTGAAGGAGAATTATCATGATACAATAAAACAGAATTCAACTTACTTGAAAAAATCAGATTCTTTCAATATTTCACCGTCAGCTTTGACAAAAGGGTCAGATAATTCTAAAATATGGAGTCTTGAGACCAACAAAGACGGAGAAGGCAAACGTGAAATTGTCAGCTTTAGCTCGTTCTGGCACCACAATTCTTCCAATTCCTCCTTTAGATCTGGAGAGAACAGAAACAAGAGAGATTTATTTGATGTGGCAAACATATTTCTTGGTACAGTACAATAAATCAAAGAATACTGAGAGTCAGACAGTGAAAGTGTTGCAATTGACTCATTTAAAAAACAGTAATGAACAAGCCTAACCTATATATATATATATGAGAAAGCAAAATGCTTGGTCAGATTGTGCAGTAAGGTGTGGAACAAAGACAAAGTCCTAGATGTTTGGAAGAGGGGAATTTACTTGAATACTCATATATATCTATAAATGTTTAATATACCACGGCAGTACAGCCATGATAGCTTTCTTTTGGGGGATACTGTCACTAAGCAGGAAAAAGAAAATTGGGAAATGGAATGACAATATCAGTGATATTCCAATGCACCTACAAAGCATTTGTATTCAGTACATATACAGAAAGTGTAATATCACTGTGAGTTGATCAAAAACATATAATCTGAAATAATTGAAAAGTAAGGACAATATATTTCTAAATGGCTTCCTTCACCATAACATCGACTCACTCTAATTTTACGAACTGCGAGTTCTAATGTCTTCTATTTTACCCACATTTTTTCGCCTCTTCGACTGTTCTGCTCATTTCATTCTGCTGTTTCTGCTTTGTATCATTTTCCAAACATATCGGATGGAATCTTTCTTTTAAAATACTTGGACTTGTAAACTCAAGACAATCATTTTGGGAGGCTGTTGTGTCATCAGTCTGAGCATTTATTGCTGCCTCAGATAAGCTTGACTCAGAGTCAGGATTTGAACTTGGAACAACCTCTAGTGGTATCCGTTCTGTTCTTTGACACAAACTGTCACTGGAATATATATATTTATAAATTGTTAAAACACATCTCAAAGGACACATACATATACTTTAAATAGAATTATTACTCAATTGAGGCAATCAACGACTATTTAGCAATAATTAACACTCTGTACAGTAGACTTATCGATGATTACAACATTTGGAAAATCATTTTTTTAACTGAAGGCAGTTTAATCAAGTCAAAGAAATAAAACAACTTGCCTCTCATAACACATCCCTGATCTGTAACAGGTGAAAAAAATAGCTTTTTTGTATAAATGTTATCTTTGAAACAAACTACCATATTGCCTTTTTCTTCCTCCCTTACTATTGCTCATTTGATTTTTTTTTTAATAGGACAAATAAACATCACTCCACAGTGTTTAAAAATAAAGGTACACCAAGTCAAGATGAAAACATCACTACTAAAACGGGTGAATTGGCGCTCATATAAGCTTATGCAGTTGCGAGCGCTATAAAACCCTCTACTAAAAAAACCTGGAGAAGGAAAAAAGGAAAGACAGAGAATCACAACAGAAATGGGAGTGAAGTAGGAGCTATAAGTAGTGCCCTACGCCATAACCAGCAACTTCTAAGTGAAATGAAAAGTGAGATCAAAAGAGAAATAATCTATATAGTATATTATATCTTCATATTGTACAGTCTTCATTTTGTGAGAGTCTATAATGTAATATAAGTTGCAGAAACTATTACTAGATACAATCGAACGTGCTCTAATTGCCATTTGCCCAAGACAGACACGCTGTACAAAAGATCAATTCCCTCTTGCATTTTATCAATATTATAATATCACTGTCCAAGACATTCACCTGTCTAAGACAACCACTTTTTTAGTTTCTGAATAGCTTAATGTATATAACTGTTGTATTAAAAACATCAGCAATTCCTTTTATTAGACATTGTACTAGTGGCAGTTCAATTTATATAATAGTCCATAGACTCCTCAAGACATTACAAGGATCTCTGGTGGAAAATTGGGAGGTCTTCATACTACATGTATACATCTTCCAGGTCTTAAGTGACAAGCACTACAAAATGTTGTAATGTAGACACTCACTTGAAAGTCAGCAAGCAGGCTTTAAGTTTAGGCCGGTCCCAAAGTGGCTCTGTAGGTCTGACCTGTAGCTGGCCTGGCGCACGCCGTGTGCGTGTCAACACAGCCGCACTGTGGGTTGGCGCATGTGTCTCAGCGAGCGCGAGGCACATTCGCTGCGTCTCAGCACAGCCGCACTGTGTTGACGTGTGTAGGTGCGCAACTGACGGGTCTGCCTTGCTATATTTAGGTACTGTGTAATCCAAGACCAATTATACCAAGACGGGACAACTCTTCTTTACGTCATGTGCCAAGTGCACCCCCCCCCCCCCCACCACACACACACAAAAACACTTGCAGCTGCGCGCGGCGATAGTTTACATTGGTTACAATGCAAGGCTAGATCTAGATCTAGAATCTAAAGAAGCACACGTAGATCTAGGCCTAGGCCTAGGCTAGGCCTACGACAACAGTCGAAACTAGGTCAACCTCTCGAATCGAAGTTTCAAAGTATGATAAAGTGCATTTCTGGGTGATTTTGTGGCCAAGCGTTGATGCTATCATCAATATTTAATAGTAAAGCACCTAATAATACTTTCTTCTTGTTGATTTTTATGATCTGTGAAGAGTTCCAGTCGAAAATAAACACGAAGCGAGGCGACACATGTCCGCCATTTTACAACACTGTTGAATAGCACGTCTGACCCATCGCGCAGCTCAGCTGACAAAAAACAGACGACACAGCGACGCTGCTTAAGCACACGATAATGCATACATTCATTTGCACCGTGCGAGCCAGGTGAGCTACAGGTCAGACCTACAGAGCCTTATACAGGGGCATGAGTTCGAGAAAAGAGACAGAGATTTGACAGAAAACTGCAGAGAGTGAGAGCATGCTGAAAGAACATTTTTAGACTTCTACTGTGCTGAGCGCCTGTGGAGGGCCGAGTCAGGGAGAATCAGCTAGACACTACAGTGCTGTCGTTAATCTTTTCTCAACATACATGGACTTGCGCAGCGGAATTGTTGCCAAATGCTATTTTTTGAAATAGTATTACTTGAAACCAACACCCATCTAAGAGGACTTCAAATTTCATTGCATATTTACATCATTCCTTTCCCTGCATGATTTTAGCTACATATATATGTAGCAGTGCCACCTCATCAAGCCTATTAAAATATTTCACTTATTTGTAAGTTCCAACGTCAAACTGACATTTTGTTTGGTTAACAACAGGACAATACCCAGAGATGGTAGGGATTTCCTTCCAATAAGATTTTATTGTAAATTTCAAAAACAAATCAAAAAGATACTCAGGCAGCAGTTGAAGAGATTGAAATATAATTTGAGCATGATTTAGGTGAATAATCACTAACGATGACATCTAAGGCAGAAAAGACAGAAAAAAGAAGCAAAAGTGTAAATTGAATTAAATTACTTATTAACATCATTTTGGTAGGGGTACACCCTGGTACTAAAAACCAAAACATTAATGTGGAACACCCAAAGGACCTGTTTTTGCTGCTAGAACTTATTTCCCCAGCAATTGGTTTTCCCAGACCAATGTCAAACACACTAAGCTCATTAATTCACGGGCTACACGACAGCCTTCCAACATGCAAAGCTCTTTATGCTTATTTTTTTTCCATCAGAAAAATCCCACCTTTCGAAGGCTTCCAAATCTGATGTAATGTTGATCCTTGGGCAGCTCTCTAACCATTCTAAAGGACTCATTGCATTTTCGGCAATACTGTCATCTGTGAAAAAAAAAAATATATATATAAGTTCAAAATGAGCTTAAATATACCTTAAAATAAAGATGGTAGGCCTATTTATAAGTACTACAGGAAGATTTCAAATTCATTCTTCAATTAATTCTGTGCCCCAGTTGAGAAACTAAAAAACTTAGTGAACTTTATCATAAGGTAACGGCCCAATGAACAAGTTTTTGAGAAATATACCCTTGATTTGTGTCTTGTCCAGCATAATTTGTGTGCATGGGCATAGATTCTACATCTTTCCAGCTTGAATTGTTAGGATATGTTGTTATTTTTTCATTCATATAAAAGATGGGATTCTTACAGATATAATATAGATCTAGATCTATGTGTTTTGACTTGTGAAAGTTAACGAAATTTTGAAAAGCAATCTTATACAGAAGAATTACTCCTAAACCACCCAAGGGAACTTTTTATCAAATTGTTTTTGTAACAACTCAGCAGTTTTTTTTACAACTATGATTGGTCCTTAATTTTAAGTTGAGTCTTCAGAGGGGTCCCTTGACAATGTTACTACCCTATGTGTAGTTGCGTGCAAAGATTTGGGTCTTTGCAAAAGACTTCACTGTCCACTCAGAAACATAATCTATTTATCATTTGTTTCATTTCATTCTTTTCTTCTCCCCTTCTCTGTTCCTTGCAGAACAGTCGCAAAGCCCCATGATGATCCCAGCAGCATTTTCTTTACTGTTGCAAGAAGGTGTTCATTGGAGCCAAACTGAGCCTGATATTCAGGTGGACTTCCTCATTCATAATGTGGTCCATATATAGGAGGTGCTTAAAGTATTACGGCAGCATCCCGTTTATGGGGTCTGTACTTTCTCTGCAGCTCTATGGTGAGGTCCATGCTTACAAAAATATGGGGAATTTACCAATACACACAGTAGCTGTAGCCTATTTCGGACATTTATGTTTTTACATCCCTCCACCACATAGAACATGGAGAAGAGTCACATAAATTGATGTACAAAAAAGTGGGAAGACATGGAATAACAACAGAAGGTTGGTACAGAATAGATAAAGGTGGAAAATGCTTGTTCGTGGCCTCTGATCCAGGGAGAAAAAGGCAGTGATGATGATCCCTCCACATATTTCTTAGGGTGATAGAATAAGATATACAACAAGCACTGCTGGTACTTACATGAAAATCTGAAAGAATTTATCACATGTCCAGCTGAGCAAGGCAAACAACAATTCAGTCCATGACTAACTTTTTGTGGAGGAAGGGCTAGCAGTAATGCCTTATTCAGCAAGTTTCGTCTGTCAGCAACAACCTTTCAAAATGAAACAAGATAATACAATGCATGCAGAAAAACAGTCAATATGTCACATGTATTCTTCTTTTATTGTTAATCTGTGATGGAAACATGGCAGGCAAATTTTAAAAACAGATGAGGAGCTGCAGAAATTCCAACATTGGTAAGCTTAAATGAATAGCTCTGTAACTCTTGGTCCTTGCTTGGTATGAACCTTTATACTATACTAAGGCATCTGACATGATGAAATCCTGCAGCTGATAATATAGGGCCTCAGACATGGGTACACTTCGGACATGTCAATTCTCGCTTAACTATTGGTGGTACACATTTTGTCACTGGATCACATAATGTGTCGTTTGAGGTTTGGCTTGCTGTGTTTTTGCCACCTCATTGAACAAATTATTGCATATGCTATGAAGGAAATTGTTTTCGAAAAGGATGTATCTATGTTTTCACACCTTGTAAGGTTTACACATCATAAAATATCACTAATTCTTTCACAAAACGATGTATCTGTGCTCTAGAGTGTCTGTTTCATGCCAGATTCATAAAATTAAATCTAGCTCTCATGATGTCTCTTTCATGAACATGTTTCCTACTCTACCCCCATGTAGGGAGATTTTGTACAGGGGGTGCATGGGTGGGGTGACTTCGTACACTGTCAAGGAAATACAGAAGCCCTAAAAGAAAAGAACCTCTTAGTTCACAAAAAGATTAATCTCGTTATGCATGCACTTGTTAATGATTCATTATTTTTTAATCATGCAGAAGCTATGTACAGTGTGAAGAAATCTACTCCGAAAGGCGGTGTGAAGACCAGTGTGTTTTAGAGATACTCGTTTACGATTGCACAATTTTTTGGATGATCCTCTGGGGAAAAAAAACTCTCGGAGAATTTGATCAAATGTGTCACGACGTGGTGGAATCAGGTGCTCGTCAATATTGGGGCATATGGAATTATTGGCATCATCTTAAAGCCTGTCCATTTGCCGCGCTTTTGATGAAAAACATCCATATTTATCTTGGATACAAGTCAAGATATTGGCAATTAAAGAAGGTGGGGGTCACCTGGTTTCAGATATAAAATTAGCTAGAAAATGGCCGCCAAAGTTTGGTGACGTCCAAAGCTCAAGAGTCCTTGGAAACTGCAAATTTACATTTTTCATGCCTTTAATCAATGTTTTACCATAAAATCCACACATAAGAAGGTTTTTGAATGGATATATAGGCGTTGAGCAAAATATATATATATATATAAACTAGTCAACAAAAGTTAAGGAACGTACTGTAAAAACAGTGATATATTTGCATGAATTCTTTCGAGGTTTTACTTTTACTAGTAAAACTAAATATTGTTGAAATGTTTCTCTAAGACTAATGGGCTTGTACACACCAAGGTTTGAAGTGCACGTGACTCTTGTGCGCCTGGCTGGGGAGGGGGCAAAAAGGTCCAATGTTTTCCAATTATCGATTTTTATTCTCTAGCTCTAACCGTCAGGAAAAATTATGAACGCTCAAAAATCAGTTTTCACGTGCAAGATTCATGTCTAGTGAGTGAGTTGCACACACTCATTTGCATTGTGGATACCCCATTCTGCTGCTGTAGGGCTAAGCATAAACATGCCTCCTCGACAGAAATTGTCTGATGTAAACAAAGGACGAGCCATTGCTTGGGTACAAGATGGTGTTTCACTCCGATAAGTTGCTACACGTCTTCGAGTGTCCGTTTCTGTCATTTCACGGCTGGTTCAGCGTGCCAACACCACTGGCAGTGCCCAAGAGCGACCCAGATCAGGTCAACCAAGAACCACTAATGCAAGGGAAGACCGATTCATTCATAGACAGGCTCTGCAGTCGAGATCCGCTCCTGCAAGTCGCACCCAGACACGGCTGAGAGCGGCAACTTGTGTTAACATTAGTTGTCAGACAGTAAGATGACGTCTTCATGAGTTTGGACTTAATGCACGTAGACCAGCAGTCCGTCAGCGTCTCACCCCAACAAACAAGGCTGCTCATCTTGCCTTTTGCCGGCGCCATGTAAGATGGACACGTCAACAGTGGGCAAACGTTCTCTTCTGCGACGAGTCCCGGTTCTCTTTGCGTCACAATGACGGTCGTAGCAGGGCTCCTCGATGGAGCCGTCAGAGAAGTGATGCCTTTTGGAGGTGGTTCCGTGATGGTATGTGGTGCTTTCAGTCTGAACCACTGAACACTTCTGTACCATGTGCAAGGAAATCTCACTGCAATACGTTCCCGAGATGAGATACTTCGTCCATTAGCACTACCTACTCTGCAGCAGATGGGACCACAAGCGGTGTACCAGGATGACAACGCCGGACCTCATAGAGCATTGCTTGTCCAAAACTGTATGCAGCTGGCTAGCATTAACCTAATGGACTGGCCGGTCTGCAGTCCGGACTTGAATTCCATAGAAAACCTCTGGGATGAGCTGCAACTTCGAGTCAGAGACAACCATCCCCCTCCAGGAGACGCGCAGCAACTGTTTCAGATGCTGCAGGCAGAGTGGCAGGGGATGCCTCAGAGAGTGTTCACCAACCTCATGAACTCGATGAGGAGCCGGTGTACGGAGTGTCAGGACGATTGTGGTGGGCATACTCAGTATTGAAATCATCTGAACTGTTTTGTTTTTGTTGTAGTCAGAAGTTAAAATAACTTCGAAACCACTTGACAATTTTAGGATTTGGGATTTTAACCCCTACCAAACTCAATTAACTTTTCAAGCAAGTTGAAATGGAATAACTTTTTTTTTTTTTGTTACTTGCTATACACATGTTGATTAAAATGTGTACAAAATTTCATTGCATGTTGAAGTTTGCTTTTGAAGTTATACACTTTTTCTCAAATGTTCCTTATTTTTTGTTGACTAGTTTATATAGATTCTATATAGATTTTCCAAATGCCGATTTCTTCCATTTCATTTTTGACGAACCCTGATTTCATCACGATGCCTCACAAATGTTCAAGGTTGTCCCTCTAACCCGATGTTTGTCATTACATATCATGCCAGAAACATTATAACATATGAACAAAATCTAAGCGAAAAACTGGATTTCTGAGTTCTGGTTCAAAAGTTGTGCTCTTCCCTTTGGAACGTAAAGAATGCAACTTTTGTTGTCATCGAACTTGGGATTATTAGGAAGTGTATCCACTTCGTTGGGAAAATAGTATCAGAAAAAGACGAAGAGGGTGACTTTGATCATCTTCTCTTAAAATCCAATAAGAAAACATTTTGATTCATCTGTCCACCTGTGGAAGATTTGGCCATGTGAATTGAGACTATAAATCATTCCTCCTCCGACTTGAGGCTCAACAAAGAAGTAAAAAAGCTCCAATAAGTTTGTCGTCAAGATCCGTATTTGCATGGAAGTCTCTAGTGGGTTTGAATTTCATCTTTACTTTACTTTTATCCGCCGCTTATGCCCTTATGGGTGTCGCGGGAAGAAAGAGACGTCTCTCTGTCGCCAGCCGGAGAGCTTGGGTCAGGGGGATGCCGTGGGTGTTTATGTTTCCCTGACTCCATCTATCCAGGTCTTTCTCGGTCGCCCTCTAGCCTTGTTGCCATCAATTTTTTGGAGGTAGGCACGTTGTGCTGGATGGTGTGTTGGTAATCGTAGGAGATGTCTGAACCATTTGATTCTTTGGTGTTGGATGTGATGCATGACATCATTTATTGTGCCCACCATTTCTCGGATTACAGAGTTTCTAATTTTGTTTTCTGCTTTTCTAAGGCATCGTATTTCACATGTTGTAATTCTTTGCTCTAATGTCTTGTTCGTGGTCTATGTTTGACATTGATAGGTGAGTTTTGGGACGAATATGTGAGGCAGCGTGGTGGAATCGCGCCCTCGTCAAAAATAATGAATGTGAAAAAACTGGCATTTTTCCACAGATTTGGCCATTTTTATCGAATTTTGGTGGGGGGGGGGGGGGGGGGTTGGCTCAACACCTTCTGTGTCCATTTAAGAATACATTTCTGTGTGGATTGTACTGAAAAACATCAATTAAAGGCATACAAAGTGTAAATTTTCTGTTTCCACGGACACTCAAGCTAAGAAAATAACTATACTTTGGCGGCCTTCTCCGCTCTAATATTACATCTGAGACTAGGTGACCCTCACTGACTTCATTCGCAAATATCTCGACTTGTATTCAAGATACATGGATATTTTTTTATCCAAAGCAAGAGAAATGAACAAGCTTTAAGATGATACCAATAACTCTACATGCCCAAAAATTGACGAGAGCCTGATTCCACAGCGTCGTGACACATAAGGTGAGTTTTGTTGTCATGGGGATGTTAGGATGTTTCAGTAGTGGAGTAAGCTGGTAACTAACATTATTGGCCTTTTGTACTCGTGTTTCAATTTCTGCTCAGTCGCCCATCCTCTGTAAATACACTTCCGAGGTACTTAAATTCTTGGACCTGTCTGAGACTGTTGTTGTTGATGTGTATCCTGAGTGGTTCTGGCTTTCTGCTCACTTTCATTGTCTCAGTTTTGTTGATGTTGATCTTCATGACGTAGTGTTACATTCTTCGTTTAATCTGGTGGTGTGGTGTTGGAGACTTCGTTCATCTTTGGTCATCAGCGAAGAGTAATTCATTTAGGGCGTCTGGTTCTGTGTTGGCCTCTTTTGTAATTCTATCCATATATATGATAAATAGTGGTGATAGGACACAACCTTGTCTTACTCCGGATGTTATCTCGAACCATTCTGTGAGTCCTTCTGACGTTTTTTCTTATTGTACTTATGCTGTTCTCGTAAATGGCAGGGATGTTATCTAGAAGTTGGCCTCTTACAGTGTAGTTTTCGAGGTCTTTCCACAGCTTGTTTCTGTTCACTCTGTCGAACGCTTTCTCCTGGTCGATAAATACTATATTTAGTTCCCTGTTGTGTTCTATTACCCTTTCGCACATTTGTCGTAGGGCAAATATTGCGTCGGTGCTTCCCTTTCTAAATCCCATTTGGGCCTCACTCAGAAATGGTTCCACTTTGTGTCTTGTTCGCCATTCCAATATCTTGGCAAACATCTTGCCCACGTGGCTTAGCAGTGAAATGCCTCTCTACATTTCACAGTCTCTCTAACTGCCTTTCTTCTTCCAGATTGGTACTATGACCGCTTTTTGCCAGTCGCCGGGAACTTTCTTTCTGTCCATGCTTTCTGGAAGATTTTTGTGAGCCAAGTTATTCCAGCTTCACCACATGCTAGGATGGTCTCCGTGGTGAGCTCATCTATTCCTGTGCTTCTGTTGTTTGTTTGTTGTTGTTGTTTTTTTGCTGGTTTTAACTGCTCGTCTGACCTCTGATGGTAGGATTAGGATTGTTGGTTCTTCTTCCTCTGGGTGACTGGGTTGGAATTCTTTGTTTGTTTGCTTTTGGGTGGTGTTCAAAAGTTCTGAGAAATATTCCCTCCATCTAGATTTGATTTTGGTGCTGTCAATAATGGGGTTTCCTGTTTTGTCATTAATTATAGCTGTTGGGTCGTACATACGGTTCTTCTCTGAGCCTCATTGATCTTACACTTCTGTAGAAGTCACGTGGTGATTTATGGCACAGTTCGCTTAGGTGTTCTCCGTATTTTGTCCTAGATTCATTTTTTGATGCTCTAACAACTCTCTTGCAGTTCCTTCTTGCTAGATCTAGTCTGTATTGCGTGTAGTCGTTTTCGTCCTGGGATTTTATCCATTTCTGAAAAAGTTTCTTCTTTTCTTTGATGGCCTCTTATATCTAGATCAACATTTCACACCTCAAATAAAAGGTAGCCTAAATCTAAAAGAATGCTGTGTCAACGTTTTGCCTTTCAAAAATAATATTTGATACATGAAACACACTGTCCGAAGTCACCCCCCTCTTTGTCTGAAGTTTCCCTCGTCTTTGTTTGATGTCTCTTGAAAACTGGGTGGTATTGGTTTCGGACATCTTGAAGATCTTAGGGTAGGCCTACCTCAGATATGATACTCTGGCGGTAAAATGTGGTGATGCACTAATAAGCTGATTTCGCAAGTGGCATGCCCAAACGGCAAGCGCTATTTGCAACGCCGCGTTCTGTATAGTGTGTATAGCTCCCGTGCTATTTGAAACGCCGCGTTCTGAATAGCTCCCATGCTATTTGAAACACCCGTAGGCCTACTAGAATCTAGATCTAGATCTAGAAGCCATCGTTTCTACGTGATAATACTGTATTGTATTTCTGGGAAGCTTTCTCAGTTTCTTGATATAAAACTCTTAGGATTTGACTCCTTATTTATGACGGTGTCTTGTCTTATTCCGATCAATATTGGGTAGATCTAGATCTATAATCTAGATCTAGTTTCGATCTAACAATTGTTTCTGACATTGTTTGCACAAAAGTAGACTAGACGTAGTCTTGTTCATATCTCATAATTACAATCATTTGAGTTTTGAGTTTGAGCAAGTAAGTCGAAAGACGCTTGGATAACAATAATAACAAGACGGTGCAACTCGGTATAAAAGCAGTATCTCCTGTCCGCAGTGTCGTCATACAATATATTCTAGATCTACCTAAAAATATTATCTTTAAGTTAGGCCTAGATTCTAGATCTAAATCTAGATTCTAGATCTAGATCTAGATCTAGAGAACGTATGTAAACAAGCTGTCGTTCGCTAGGCCTAGTCTAATGTTCAGTGCTTCCAAGCGCGGCATCGAATCCCGGTCCCGAAAGGTTTTGTTTTTTTCTCCTGAGCCTAAAATTTAAAAATAAAAATAATAATTAGACTCACAGACCAAGGAAAGCCACTATTGAACTTTAACCAGTCCTAAATTTGTAAAAGGAAAAGTATAGAGGCTTTACTAAGGCCTACTTTTTTGTACAGAGCTCCTCTTGGGGACAAAACCAGAATGTGCATGCTTCACCACTAGAATCTAGATATCTAGAGATTGTAGATCTAGCTATATTAGATCTAAATCTAGATGTAGATCTACATTTTAAAAAACTAGCCTACAAAGCAACAAGTTATAATTATGGGGGAAATGTTTTAGTCAGTCGAGAAGAGGACTAAAAAAAACTTCCATCACCGGGATCGAACCCATGTTCATAAAATAATGGTTTGGCTTCGAACGCAGACGCGCTGTCACTATATAAGGCCATCAGAACTTCCGTTAACGAAAGATAGATTAAGCTTCATAATATAGCCTAGGCTAACACAAGGCGTTTTATTTAGCACTGGCGCTAATCCGCTAATCGCAACACGGCGTTGCAAATAGGCACTTCCATTCCTGCCCAAATGGCTTACCGGTACATTATCATTAATAGGGGCCTACCTTGAACTGCAGCTTACTATAGTTGAGTGTGTGTGGCAAAACAAAAAACTTCAAGAAAGCATTAACTAGTGCTTTCAGTGTCACCAAAAGAGACAGCAACTATGCTATTTTTTTCTATTTCCTTTTTTACCTCTGAATAATAGTCAATATCCCAAAAACGAGGCATGTTATTTGGGCTTCAGGAGATTTACGTCGTCTGCTAGAGAAATCTAGCATACTGCTATGTTGCACAGTTGGAAGCTGACAGTTTAAAATGTTTAATTATAATAGTTTGAATCAACGATATTGTACGGGGAGACTGCTGACATTTGTGAATTGATGAACCTCATAATGATGCAAAATGAGGAATCAGGCAGAATCGCTTTGTGTAATATTGTGGTATGATCATTTTGTGTTGTTGTTCTCTATGAACACTTTTGAAACCAAACTCGAATTGTTTTGCTAGTTGTTATTGTTTTTTCGTCGTAATTGAGGGGGAAAGAGTGA